ATCGCTAGAGCAAGTTCGTTACCGGCATCCTTAGCTAAGGCACCTCCTTCGACCGCTTTCGCTAGACTAGCAATACTATCTTCCCTTAAGTCTTTAGTTAGTTGTAAGAGCCTCGTAGAGCATATCTTCCTTTCCTTATCGATCTAATATAGGAGGAGTTTAAAATGTACCTTTAGTATATACGTACGATGCCTAAGTCTAAGTAAGAAGGCCGTAATGCCCTCTAAACTTATAGTATAAGCAACTAAATCGTCCGCTAGTACCCTGCCCTATAGCTCTTAGCTGTCGCCCTTCGACCTAATTATATATATAAGCTTATCTCCGTCCCTAAGCCTACTAAGTTCTTTAAGGTTAGCGGTACTTATAAAAACTGTCCTTCTAAGGAGTCTGCTCGTCTCGGATAAGATATAGTTAAGCTCGCAGCTAGCGAGGGTGCTAGTTACCTGCGTATTAAGGTCTGCCTTATATCTAAGGATAAGACTAGCTACTCTACTATTATCGAAGGCATACATTAGCCTAAGGTCTTTGCGAACTAGGTTAAGAAGCTTAAGGCTCGTAGCCTAGTCCTACTAAGTAAGATCGGCAAGCTTACTAATAAGTACCTTACCGACGACAACCTCGACTATATGTTCGATAGTTAGCCTAATAGTAAGGGGCGTAAAGCGGAGTAGATCCTTAACCCTCTAAAGGAGTGCGAGGTCTCTATTTAGATGCTATACCTGCTATATAGTAATCTAAAGACTAAGAGCAACCGTATATTAATTAACCTAGGCTACTCTCGCGTTATTAACGGTACTAAGGTTAAGAGCTACGAGAACTTAATAGTCTCTTAGGTTGCTAAAGCGTACCGCAATCTAACCGCCCTCCTATCCTCTAACTCCTTCGTACTATTCGCTTTCCCTACGGCTATCTTAGTCGAAGGCCTCGGCTATATCTCCGACGCCCTAGTTAGTAGGATTCCTTAGTTAAGTTACGTTGTTTAGAACGAAGTTAAACAGATCCTCTAGCTTAATAACGAGGGACTTAAGGAATATCTATACGATTAGGAGAAAGCTACGACGGAAAAGGCTACTAACCTCCTCGTTAATTAAGCTTTCTACGAGGGATAGTACTTCGGTACTAATAGCTTTAACGTATACGGAGGAGATTTCGAGAGCCGACTAGCAGATAAGGTTATTGCTAGTAAGGATTACGGCGCGTTAAAGCAACAGTAAGTCTATATAGTATTACTTAGGAAGTTGTTTTTGCATGATTATAGCATCTAGGATTAATACTACCCCGGAGGTGTTATTGCGGAGTTCTAAGAATAGCCTTAGCTAAGAGCGCTAAGGATGCATACATGTTTGTTTTAAGCGCGTATAATATAAAACGTGTCTAGTTAGATACGAAGAAAGGGAGGGATATTAGCTAGTAACCGGCCCTACACCTATAGGGCAGTTTTAAGCCTATATAAGAGGCCTCCTTCTACAGAGTAGACGGATTATTAACCTCGTATAGCACATTGTTTATGTCACACTTCTACAATGCCTATATTGCAGGGCTCTAGTTATTAGCCTAAGCGATAGTCTCGTTATCCTATCTTGCTAAATATGGCTGCCCGTATTGCTATAGGTTATGTTACCCTCGGTAGCCTATACTATTGCTACAAGTAGTAGTAGTAGTATTAGTTTCCGTCCTTTACTATATTGCTAAGCAACGCTAGGTTAGCAACTATATTGCAGAGATTAAGGCTAATAATATATATTCTAACGCAACCTGCGAGAACTATAACAACTACTGCTATCTACTAGAAGACCTTCTAGATATCTACGAGAACTATCTCTAGATTAGTAACGATCTAGTTAGAATGTAGTCTATAGCCCTCGCTGCTAATAAGCTAGGAGTAACAACTAAGAAGCCTCCTAAGAACGTTATAGTAAAGATGTCTTAGTATACTAATAGCTAGCGAGAACGGTCTAAACAAGCAAAGATAAGAGACACTGCTTAGCAGCCTATTACATTGCTATATACGCTATATAACCGTAGTAAGTCTGCGCCTATTAGTTATATAGATTATAAGGGCCTTATTAAAGCTACCTTCTAAGCCGTTACTAGTATTCTATAGCCTAGTATTACTTAGCTAGGTACGGCTCTACAACCTTAATCTAAGCTACCTCCTCGAGCTTAAGAGTTACCTCTACCTTCTCGAGTTACTAAGCAAGTTAGTACGCTAATACTGTCTCTTATAAGACAGTTCTTTAAGTAGGCTGCTATATAGCACGAATAGTCTAATCTAGAAGAAAAGGACGACTTTGTAAAGATTAAATCGCACCTCCTAACTTAACGGTATAATTGTAACTAAATAATAAGGATCTCTAAGAAGTACTAGAAGGAAGAATTAGGCTTCTTTAAAGGCTATTATAGCCGTCTACTTAGTACGTTAAAGCGCTTTTAGAAGCAGAAGTTAATAGAGAAGCAAGGGGGAAACTAATTTTGTAACTAATAATTACGACCTTTATAACGGAGCAATAGCGGTTCGTATGCTTTTAGATTAGTTAGGCGTTTCTTAGCAAATAGTATAACAACTAGAACTTAAAGTGCTCCGCTATATATGTCTTAATTATCGTTGCTAAACTAATATCCTTTTAGCGGAAATCTCGGAGGTAAAAGCGAAGGACTTATATAAAGCTTAGCAATACCTATCCTTGTGTTATCTATTTTATTATATAGCTAATACTATACCGATTAATATAAAATTAATAGCGGAGCTTTAGAGGTATATTATCTTAAGATCCTATATATAATATTATATAAAAGTTATATTATAGTAGCTAGAAGGCTAGCAAGTCGAAGTTAAGAAGTAAGTTATTATTACCCTTATTACCCTCGTGCCTATTAACGTTATATCTAGCGTGTTTGAATAACCCCTTTACATCTATTCTAGCGACGTATTCTAGCGACTAAGTAAGGAAGTCCGTAAAGCAGTCGAAGTCCTTTATTAAATCCTTGTTCTTTTTTATCTATATCTTTAGTATATTAAAGGTCTATTTAATAGGGTTGAGATCCGGTAAATATAGAGGTAGATATTCGAGTATATATCTAGCTAACTTTACTATCTCTTCGACAGACTCGCTACGGTAGATTAAGGCGTTATCTATAATAAAGATTATCTGTTTTCTAGTAATAAGCGGCGGTAGTACTTAGTTCTCGAGCTAGTTATCGAATGTAACTTAATCGATAGAGCCTTAAATATAGAGGGTATACGGAAGATAGCTATTAATCGTTAATGCCGGTAATACTAACGTACGCTCTTTACGTTGCGTATACTAGAAGTCGTAGTAATCTATCCCCTTCGGCGACTATCTATACTTGCAGTAAGCAGTCTTCTAGTTTATCGCTATCTTATCTATAAATACTAACTTCTTAATAGGCTACTTCTTACACTTCTTACTCTATACGGCTCTTACTAAAGGATTGCGTTCTTTAGCTATCTTGCGAGAAGCCTTCCGAGTCTAACCTATCGTATAGACAAGGTAGCGCTATATATTCGAAGGATATAGTTAGACGTTAAATTCGTCGTATAGCGCGAAACACATCTCTTCGAGGTATGCCTCTAGTCGATAGGAGAGGTATTCTTCGAGCTAGTCCTATATAGCTTTAGTAAGGGTTTTCTTACGACCTAGCGGCAGGCGTAGAGGGTAGTAATACTCTCTAAACAGGTTATAATTAATACGCTATTTATATAGGGTCGACCGCGCTACGCTAGTTGCTAGTATTATATCGTCGATCGACTTGTCCGCTATAAATAATACCTCCGCCTTCTTTACGGTTAGAAGCGGCATCTTCGTACTTCGCCTATTATACTTTTCCTCCTTATTCTCGGCTAGTAGCTTCTTCTTACGAGGCATTACGGAAACGACGATATTCTAACGGTTAAAACAACACCTCAACGGTCGCTATACTATTGAAAATAAGGCAACACGGTCTATAAAGAGGTAGATTGAAAATGCGGTATACGGCTCTTCTCGAGGTCTTGGCATTCTACGGTAAACCGCAAAAGGCAGTAAGCATTTTTGGGCGGGTAAATGTTTCTCCCGCCTACCTCCTTCCCATTTTTCTTCGAGGTTCATTCAAAGCACAACGTGTGGCAATTAAACAAAACTGCCTCGCGCGCGCGCGCGCAACAGCATCGCTACCGCAACTTTGCTCATCATACAACTTGCGGCTATGCGTGGACCATACTCGAGAAAGGCCAGATGGCGCCCCAAATCCTCCGAAATGGCAAAACTTTCAAATCTCAATCGCCAGCAGGAAACCAAGATGGAAACCAAGACGAGTCCTGACTCGGGGAGGATGCCACCGTGAGCTGGGCATATACCTCTGCTCGACTGGCATCTGAGATGTTTCTCCATTTCGTCAAATACCAGACACTGAAGGCGTAGTCGCTCGCTCAATCAGGAACTTTGCCAGTGAAGTGAAGCCAATCGCGGATCGACAAAGAACCTATACCGGTTCCGCTGAAACATGAGGTTCAGAGATCTCTGGGTCGAACCAAGTTCGACACGACATGGAACAGCTGCTCGCATATTGTCCCGCTGCCGCTGTGGAGACTACAGACCAATATGTGTGCATGGCGATCCTGCTGTGCAGCATGTGCAGTAAGTGGGTCTATCTCGGCAAAATCATCCCTCACTGTATAGGCAATCGACATGGACTAGCTACGGCCTCACATGTTATGGCCGCAGATATCCACTGGACTCGCTAATCGCCGCAGCGCAATCTAGGTCCAGAACGTCATACTCCAGGTACTCATCACGTTGGAAGTCGTGGCAAACCTGATGGCTAACATTCTCCGAGCCCTTTGATCAGTTCACGCAACGGCTTTCTGCCACCTGAATATCGTTCGGCTGTGGTGATCGCTGGTCGCAACATTCTTGACCTTTTTCCAATCTCTTCTTGTTGTTTCTATCCAACCTGGAACGGACGCTACGACAATCGTGACTTGTTTATGGTCCCCCAAGATGCTGTTTCTCGTGGCCTTCCTCTTCTTGGTGCGCATTGCCGCAGGCGCTGGACGCAATGCGACGAGTTCAAGCCAGTGTTCATGCGGGTTCCGTGATCCGCAGACTGGAGAGCTTTATACAGAATCAATAATTATGTACTTCAACGAAACCACATCGGTGGACCAACATGTTCTTCGACTCATGGACTACAGTCACAAGAATCAGAAAGGCTGGACCACTACGTTTCGACAAGGAGCAAGCCCTGCAAATGTCCGATTCGGCAACAATGGATCTCTCCCCTGGCAAGATGCCGTAGATGGCACTGCTCCGAGATTGGAAATGGTACTGGGTGCCCGCAGATTTGACCATCTTTCCAATGGAGCTGAACTTCAATCGCTTCGACGCGACATTCTGTACGGCAGCTTTCGAGCCGAAATGCGTTCACCTTCTTATCTGGAACGAGGAAGTGCCATGTCGATGTTCTTGCAGTACAACGACACTCAGACTGCTACCATCGATATGTGCAACATGGACATGCCCACGAAGGCAAGGGTCCTTCAACTCATCAATGGTGAATCGCCATCCTACTCTCTTGCAACCAATTACAGCTTGATCGAGAAAGGAGATCCACCAAGGATTCCAGCGCTCTCCCCATATAGCTTTATGGAGCTGCGAATAGACTGGACCGACGACACATTGGATTTTTGGATCAACAATAATCGCACTCGTCGAGCTACGAAGAAGGAGAGGACTCTGCCATCGGTCCCTCAGACGCTGTATTTTTCCCACTGGTCCACTGGAGACCAGTACTACATGCAAGGTCCGCCTGTCAATGCCTCTGTCGCACAACTGCAGTGGGTACGAGCATTCTTCAACACGTCTCTCATGACGAAAGCGGACCATGAAAAGTATGATCAGCGTTGCGAAGCGATTACAGCCTGCTCTGTGGATGACATGACTCTGCGTGAGTCAACGGAATACCAATCAGCAGCTGTGGTCAAGTGGAAGCCGTCAACTCCGCACCAACGCATTCGTGATGTTGCAGGCTACATCGCCGCAGCTTTCAGCGTGTTTGGGGCCGTGTCAATTATCAATGCGCTCATCCGACGAGGGCCTTGGTGGAGAATCAAGAAGAAACTAAAGGCTCTCCCTGGTAGCAAGAGGCATTCTACGCAAGCACTTCGCAAGTCACTTCGAGAATCTATCGGTACGGATCTGGCAAATGCTTCATACCCTGGACCCCCGGCAGGTGATCTTTATGGAAGCGTGACCGGTCCCGGATCTGGGGCCGAGACACCAGCACCGGGTTACACTTCGCGTCCAGGTTACCTCTCGCCTTTCCAAGATACATCAGGCAGTCAAACTCCACTACCAGCGTATGAGTCCGAGAGACATTCACCATATCAGTCCATGTACGCGTTTCTGGCCCCTATGCGAAGTCTACGTGGTGGGTCTGGAAGAAGCACTCCAGGTCACGCCCGCAGTGCATCAGCTCCACAGCCAAATCGACAAGCATCTGTGGGCGTCGATGTATTACCTCCACCAATGGAGCATCCCATTGGATATGGCCCCGATAACCCGAACCTCGAAGAGGAGACGGATAAAGATACTCGAACGTCGATTGCACGGAACCAAGCATATCTCGACCTTTCTGGCACTGGACGGGAAAATGGGGATGGGGTCCGTCCAGTGAGCGCTTCAAGATCTGCCAGCCCGTTGCGAACATCAAGTCGAAGTCGCAAGTCGTACGACTCAAGATCGTCAAGCGAGCGCGAGCACAAGCACCGCAGCTTTATGGATCTGGAAGGCCGCTCAATCGAGAAGAAGGTCTCTTTCATCACCGACAAGCTACCTATAGTTGCAGTACCCGAAAATCCTCAAGACTATGGAGCCAAAGCACAAATGCTGGATAAGTCAAACATCCCCGATGCCATGACAGGTGCTGCAACGGCACTCCCTGCCAAGGAGCAGCTGCCTCACGGTCAAGCGCCGCAACAGCGTATCGATTACTTGGCAGGTCTTGTGGCCCTGTGCTGTATCATGGTCACGCTGCGCCATTTCTCGCTGACATTTTGGCCTTATGTCACCACAAGTGGAGGATATGTAATGCATTTCAAAGCAGATCTCGTGCTATCTTACATCTTGGGACCATACATCCTGACCCCTCTGTGGATTGGACCTTTCTTCGTCACTTCATGTCGCTTTCTGGCGCAAAGATACCTCAAGACTGGCAAGCTGAACGACATTGCCAACAAAATGCTGCTGCGAGCGCCACGAATGCTTATACCGGTTTTCATATTCATGACGCTGGAATATTTCTTGATCTCGCTTGGACTCACAAGCAGGCTTGAATGGCTTCCAAGCGTCTCGTACAGCACCTGGCCGTATGTCACGCCTCAGCCGAACTTTGGAGTGTTCTTGAACGAAGCAGTGGAAATTTCGTATATCACTCCAAACGCTGCACCAGAGGTCATCAATCATTACTGTGTTGGTGTAAGTTGTCTTTGGCCATGCCCAGCACATTCAGACGCTAACTGTCAGACAGGTACTCTGGACTATTCCTGTACAGCTCCAATTTTCCTTCGTGACCCTCTTGGCAACAGTCCTCGTAAAAGATGTCAAGACACCATGGAAGCGATTTTCCTTCTACACTTTCACAATCATCTGTGGGTGGTACGGACAGGTAAGAGCTACTCCAAGCCCGATTGGTACATCAAGCACTAATTCACAACAGAGCTGGTCTGCGTGCCATTGGCTTGGCCTTATGCTGGCAGATCTCGACATTACTTACGACTGGAAGAAATGGATATACGCCCGATGGTGGCGACATTACGGCATCATCACAATCGCCGTTGTGATCACGCTTGCAACACCATTGGCACTTCTCTTCAACTCGTCCGTTCTTTTCTGGTCATTCATGTCCTGGGAGAACGCCATCCATCCCAACCCCACCACCGGAAGACCGATCTATGAGTCCCTTCCTAGCATCTGGTGGGCGTATCCTCAGTACTACGAGCCCAATCTGGCAATCCTTACATTCAGTCTCGGCCTTCAACTGATCGTCGAACTTTCGACGTGGACACAGAAGGCTCTCAGCATTAAGATCGTCACATTCTTCCATCCACATATCATGACAATATATCGTAAGCTAGACAACGTTGTGGTCAATTTTTCCTCCAGCGACTGACTTTTGACCTAGTGATGCACGGATTCGTGTTCTGGAGTGTTGGAGCCAGCGTAGCTGTATGGCTTAGCGGACTGAGCTTTCCGTATTGGGCTACACTGATCATCACGGCGCTCTTCTCATACGCTACGATCTTGTTCTTTGCCGTGATTATGACCCCCCTGATCGAGTTTGCTACGAAAGGCTCGGTGAAGAATATTTGGCGATGGGCTACAGAAGAGCCTGTGCCGCATAGACGAACCACAGCACCTTTCACGAAGGACCTCGTTCTAGGAAGAATGCAGGATGAGGGAGAAGAGAAGAAAGCGAATGCGCAGGTACAGACAGCGTGAGAATATCTGGTCCACTTCAGAATTTGCGGCGTTCGAGCGTTATTGATATACCAGCTTCTCAGCAAAGAATTGAAACGATTACCAATTGATTTCCAGCGAACTACTTACACAGCCAATTCCTGTTACCATAAGGTGGTAGTATTGTTACGATCAGTACCCATCCTTCCCAGAAACCACACCATACGCTCCGCCGCCTTTACCAAACATCTCGCACAATCCATCAGCCAAATCTTTTGGACGTTCCCATCCCGCGAAATGTCCACCCTTCTCATAAAACTTTTGGAAGACGATTGGTCCCATGGTGTGTCTCCAAGATACCGGACTGTTGCAGAGCTCTACCGGGAAGTCGGCAATCCCCAGCGGAACATCGATATAGCCTTGAGCGATAGGCACCGTGATCTCCACGGGGTCATGTAGAGCCTCGTAATAGATGTAAGAGGCTGCGTCTGGTCCGGCGCGGGAGAAGACGTAAATCGATACCCAGAGGCAGACTTCATCGTCAGTCCACTCGTATTCATCACTCCACTCTACAAGTTTATCAAACACCCAAGCCAAATTCCCAACCGGACTGTCACGCAAGAGGAAATTTATCGTGGCGGGTCGAGTGGATTGAATGGCGAGGTAACCCCGTCCGTCGCCCATGCCGAAGGGATTCCAGCGTTCTGCTAGCGCCATCTGCTTCTTCTCGCGCTCGCTGTATTCAGGCTCGGGTTTGGTGCCGTTCACGAATTCTTCCGGCTTCGCGGCCCATGCCCAGTTGATATGATGGGCTTTCACACTTGTTGGGTACAGATGGGCCAGGGCGCGGGTGATGAGGAAACCCCAATCGCCGCCTTGAGTTACGTATTCGTTGTAGCCCAATGCTAACATGACCTTGTGGCATGCTTCGGCATAGCGGGCGAGGTTGAAGCCAGGCTTCAGCGCGGGGCCTGAGAAGCCGTAGTTCCTAGGACCAAGTCAGTGTCAGTGTCTGCGTAGAGACAATATCAGGAAGTCACGGACGGAAGACTTGGAGCTACGACATGAAATGCCGGGTTTCCATCTCCGCCTTTCAAATACGGTAGCATTTTCGTGACCTCGAGAAAAGAGCCTGGCCATCCGTGGACAAACAAGAGCGGAATTGCTCCTTGCACATCGCTCTTTTGATGCACGAAATGCATATCCACTGGGCCATGCTTGTCGACGCTGACCTGCACCTCGAAGTTGGGTAGCTCGTTTAGCTTCTTTTCGTGAGCTCTCCAGTCAAATTTCGTTCGCCAGTATTCGACGAGGCGTTGGATGTCTGCTCTGGAATTCCGCATCTCGATTAGGATTTGTGGTGCAAGTGATGGAGGGAGAGGAGAGCTTACAAGGGAGAGCCGTAGTCCCAGGCTGGATTGCCTTCTAATTCTGATGGGAAGTCTGTGTCATCCAATCGCTTCTTTAAGCGGTCGATCTTCTGTTGTGGGACGTCGATTGTGTATTCTTTAATGACGGACATGGTGAGCTCTAGGGGTGGATGGAGCTGAAGTTGAGAACAAGGGGCGTTGAGAAGCGCAGAGCTGAGGGCAGACTTGTAGTACTGCCACTAGAGGAGACAGCTTCATAGCTCTGCTAATGCAAGTCTAGCTTGTTTTTTGTTTTCTTGCACAGCCATCGTCTTTCACACACACACACACGAGCGCTCGCACAGGTTCCTTCTAGCTCCTTTGGGAAACGCTTGGCATGGTCGAAGTGTCCCATGGCTTGTCGCCTTGACTCTGCATCGATCGTGTTCCGTTTCCAACTTCTCCTCTCTTTTCACGCCTCTGGATAACACCGAAGACACACGAGATGGGCATGGACATGACGGTCGGTGAGGCAGGGCGAACACTCCCATTTATCTCCTGTTTCTTGGCCGCTGCTCCCACAGGCAACAGGGATCAAACCTTGACATCGCTGAGTGCCTCATCTCAGCTAATTGATCCTAATTGACAATCCCGACCTTTCGCACGTCATCGTAGCTAGGCACTGGCCAGCCCATGTGCACTGCTTGCAACCATCTGACAGCGGAGAAGAACAGCATCTGTGTTTGCGGTCATAGATCACACTCGACTCGGGCAAGGCACGGTCGAAACGAAGCGCTCGTAAATATTGCAACAAGAAGTCCGACGGCGTAGTATTGTGAAGCTTACGCATTTCTACTGGTACTGGTCTCCGCTGGCGGTGAAGCAACCACCGCATTCACGAAGGGCCACCTCTCATTCACAATGCGATTATGATGCGACGGCTACCTCATTTAAGCCAGAAACATTCTCTGAGACTCTTGTTCCAAATCGAGAAGAACAATGAACTCTCAAAACACAACCCAATCTCCACACCGAGCCTTTCAATAGAAGGAACAAAGGACGCTGGTCATTGATGCTGCTCACTCCATCCTATCCATCATGATGACCATCACGAGTGCCTACCGTCAGCAGGAGCTGGCTCCTGGAGAACACGAATCACTCTCCCAACATCACAACTTTGCAAAACGCATGACTACCAGTTCACGTGTGCCCAAGGATCATGCCATCCGCAAGCAACCGGGAGCTGGCCTCCGCCGTATCGCACTGACTCCGGACAGAGTGGCCAGGAAACCAATGTTTCCTAGGAACGGCAGGCTTCCCGTGCGCTCTTCTCCCAAACAGACCGAGGAACCTGAGACGTTGCGAACAGGAACGCCAGAAGTTCAATCCAGAGCCGCCACGCCCACCGTAACGCCTCAGAGTCAACCCCCAAACAGGCGCAGTATGCCGACGCATATGCATATGCTATCGACCGACGGCTCCATGTATTGCGGGCCACACTTCGACGCATGCACATTTGATGCTATGGACCACAAGCTTGCATGTGGCCACATAATCCTGACTGCGGAACCTGAGCCCTGTGCAAATAACTGTCATGTACGAGAACCGCCGGATTATGCTCAGCCCCGAGATCTTGACCAATCTTTCGTTTGCATGGCTTGCATTGGAGATCATATCCAGACTCGGCAACGTGACAGATACTGGGACTTCAGAATAGAGCTCGAGAATGTCGCGGCAGAGAATGACAAGTCTTCAGAGTGGGTAACGCAGAAGTTAGACCTCATGGCCATGGCTTGGCAGGACGAAGACGTCGAGGAAATCAAAATGCTATCCTCAAAGCAGAGAGGCAAACCCAGTCAACCATTCTGGATCGAGCCCGAGCTACAGGGTCTCGTAGATACCGCCATGAAGGAAAATCGCCTCGGTCGCAGGTCTTCAAGATCAACATTGAACGATTCCGGACCGACATCTCCAACCCTTTCGATAACCAATTCCCCCACTACAGGAAGAGAATCCAAGCCGTCACCGCTGCAAGGATCCCTCAGAGGCTTACGCAATTGGCACTCAAGACACTCCTCAGCCTCATCCATCACCGCAGATACTCATACTCCCAGAGACACCATGAAGCCACCCGAAGATATCCCCTACTTCCCCACCGACAAGCGAAAGGACAGTAGAACCAGTGACACCATCCCCATCTGGAGGGAGCCCCAACTCCCCGAAAGTCCGACGCGAACCCTCAACTTGTCACCAAGGCACGAGTAAGTGGTAGCCCTGATGTGAGCAATACAACTTTTTTGCTCACACATGTCTTTTCGCAGCAGCGCACCTCCTCCGCGAGAGAATTACTTCGTCAAGCCATGGCATGAAAAAGCCTCTTTGCGCCCTTACGAGCGGATTTGGCTGAGTGAGGCTTCTGTACAAGATTACGAATGAATGAAAAAAAATTATGTCTCAGATTTTGATTTTGATTTTTTTTTTGTGGCCGGAGGGGAGGGATGGGATACTTATTGGGGGGCGGCTTGGTTGCTTGATACCCAGGGCAAGCGATCCTACCTAAGTTACTAGATTTTTGTTCATGCTGAATGGAAGCATTATGGTCGACGGCCTAGCTAGCGAAACCACTTGGAGTCTCTCACTTTCTCTCGTTATTCAACTAATTTTCTATAACGATTAATACCTTCGCTACGTGTTCGATTCGCTTGATAATGAATAACATCCTTATATAATAGGCGCTTATATGCACATCTCGAGCTCTAGAACAACGCTTAGTATCTTACCTACGATCTAGGGATGTAATTGTAAGGTAACTCGCAGTAGCAAAGCAGAACCGAGATTTTCTTTTTTTTTCCGGCGCATCTATGCGAATAAAGGTTAGGAGGCGTAAGTCTTCTTATAGATTAGTATTGTAGCTGTCGTCGAAAAAAAGCTTGGATGCTGAGATTTCTTTTTCCACGCGCGCGACAGGCGAGCCGCGAAATGGAAATGGGTGGGTGGGTGGGTGGGTTAATGAGTATCGGGGTTTCTTGTGGGCATTGAAATGAACAGCGCGACTGTGAGGCTTCCTCAGTAGTGTCGGTGCGTGAAATGCCAAAACTATGCATTGCTTAGCTCGCGAACATTTTCCGGGAAACGATTTCAAATAGTCAATGCCAGGCAATTGATACATTCCTTGCCAGATAGCATCTGTATACACTACATGTAGAGATGGTTCAATCGTGTCATCATTGAATTTTGCAAGGTCTTCTGCGTTATGTATATGATACACAGTACACACGGGTATTTCATGTCCAACTCCTTTTGCTGCGCTGAAGCAAGCATGCATGCACTTCTACAAGTCATTCAAAGGAAGTAGTCAGCAACCGGCTTCTTGGCCGGCATGCCTCGGCTGTCTTGCGGCGCCGGGTCAAATATACGGTAGCGCCTTCCCGGGCCTTGTTTGTTGTACTGTTCCGGTAGGATGCCGTTCGATCTACCCAAGTCGCCATTTGTCCTCGGCGCATAGCCAGCGTTCGAGCCGTCCTCGCCGAGCTCCAGAATGGCTGCCACATTGCCACATCTGTAGCAGTAGTTGGGTGCTGACCATACGGTGACAATGGTGCTGTCGAACATCTCTTTGAAGCCCTCCATGACCAGTTGATGTGCTCGACAGATGAGGCTCAAGTCGTTCTTGTGATTGAAGCATTTGACAATGTCAGCACCAAACAGGAAGCCAGCGCCGCGAGGTGAAAGACCCCAGCCGTCAATTTCGTCAGGATCTGACCACAACAGGTCGCACATGGCACCTTCGTGGGGCACTTCCTGCTTTCGGTCCAGCAATCGAATTTTGTCTATGCTGTCTATGAGAGGGCTAAGGCCGCCGTGTACGCAGAGCACGGCGCCACCACTGCTGCTCGGACGGCCTCTGCTAGCTCCTGATGCCGCCGTGCCCGGCGGACCGTTTTGCGATGGTGTTGGTTCTGCTGTCTGAGACGGCGATGAAGGTGGGTTGGACTGGGGCTGCTCCACCGATAGTGCCGGTCTTGTTCGCGGGAAGCGATTGATAATTTGTCCTTGCGAGTTGAAGAGCTCAATCTCAACATCTTCGAGATCTGGAAATGTGGCTGCAGGATCGGCAAAGGCAGCATCGGTCGGTTCAAGGTCGGTTGCTGCGCCCATGATCAAGGCACCCAAAGCAAGGTAGTCAAACACCTCGCAGCAATAACGCCATACATTTGCGCTTCCATATTTCCGTAAGCATTCATCGTAGAAGCCATAGACTGTCGTGATCTGTCGTGATTCGTGGTTGCCTCGTATCAGCGTGATGCGATCTGGGTAGCGCACTTTCAAGCATAGCAGGAGTAGAAAGGATTCAAGAGAATAGAAGCCGCGATCGACAAAGTCGCCCATGAAGAGGTAGTTCGTGTCCGGCACATCGCCACCTACGCGGAATAGCTCCATGAGGTCGTGAAACTGGCCATGAATATCGCCGCAAATCTACGCCCCGTCAGCGCCATGTCCTTACCACGCTCCCGTCCGACTCACCGTGACCGGCGCATCGACCGTGACCACATTGCCCTCCTCGATGAGCAATTCTCTCGCTTTGTAGCAGAGCTCGCGCACTTGTGTCTCAGGTATTGGCCGACATGCTCGCAATTGTGCAATCGCCTTATCCAGGTCACTCATGGTCCGCAATTTGCTGCGCCCAGCGGCGCGCTGCCGGAGTGTGCGCGCTGCCTATGCGCGGTCCTTTTTCTTCGCCTTGCTGTGCTGTCTATCGGTCGCGGTACCGGTATACTGCGTGCTCACAATTCGATCGGGCGGTCTGCTGCGGCGCGTAGGCTCGAGCGGCTCAGCTGGCTGGGGAGAGTAGAGGGCGGACTGTACTCTGTAATGCTACGTGAGTTGGCTTCGGGTCGAGATCCGATTACAGCGAGGTGTGGTCTACGTCGGCGGTTGTGACTGAAAACGAGCGAACTCATAGCGCTGTTGATGACTAACTTGAAGTCGTGCTGCATGACTCGCGACTTTCGGCAGCCGACATCCGACATCCGACATCCGAGAAGCCCTAACAAATCCACATATCGCCTCACCTCCTTGCCCGGCGATGCCCGCTACGATATTTCCACTTCCATTGCCTCACTATTCCCGCCGACATCGAGGATACTCCTGCTATGTCGAGGGCATTCCATCGCAGCCAACACACGACTTCAAGGACTCTCCGCGATCATATCATCAAATTCTGAGCAGATATGGCTCTTTGCACACGAGACTAGAAGACGCGCTGGAAGTGTTCGTAGGCCAGTATTGGCGACCTACTATCGCTCCGCCCTGCTTGAACGAGTAGGACGGAACCTCGTCTTGCACCAGCATCCTTCTCAGAATGCAGGTGTTTGCAAGATCTGGTCTTGTCGGAGGAGAGGAACCTGTAACTTCTACATCTCACTCCTGACCCCGCATTGTACTGGATATGGCTGCATACGAAGCGAAAGAGACGATCGAACGCTGGGCAAAACGATCCTGTCAGACCACTCAAGCCCTCCTCACGAGCTGCGAACCTTGTGGTCAAGCCATACGGTAGGCATTCGTTCCAGGAACAGTTCGAGGATCTACAGCGTGTAACCAGGAATTGTCTCCCAAGCTGCAAACCCCGCTTGTGGGTAAGGTGGGCAGCTGAAGCTTGCTCTTCTGGAACATATATATCAATAGGTGAGGATGGTTGTAGTCGTTGGCGAGTTTCACTGTACCACTAGGCCGAGGAGACAGCACATTATCATTAACACTAACACTACAAGACACGACCATGGCTACATTCAAAGGCTACGATTTGATCGTTGTTGGCTCCGGGTTCGGCGGCTCTTTCGCTACGCTCAGCTACCTAGAGACACTGAAAGCCAGCGGCAAGAGTGGCCGTGTTGCCCTCGTCGAAGTCGGCAAGGATGGCGAGCGATGCGGAGCCTCTCGATGGACAATGGCCTATTTACGACTAGACAAGGATCTTAACTTTGGTACGCTCACAACTACTCCGCTCACTCACTGTAGTGACCCTAACATCTGCAGACAAGGACTGGGTCAAGGAGATGAGGCGCGTGAGCGATGGCATCGCAGACGAGACGTACTGTGAGAAGCTTCGACATGAAGCTCCAATAACCGCCAAGTATTGTGAAGACCATGGCGTGAAATTTATCCACCATGATGAGCCAAATGTGCTTCTCGAATTCGACACAGATCAGCATTTCGTGTTCCCAGATGGCGGTGGCAACGCCATCATCACCAAAATCATGGAGCACATCAAGAGCTATTCAAATGCCGATATTCACTGGGAAACAGAAGCTTTGAAGCTACTACAAGACGACAGAGGCGCGATCCGAGGTCTCAAAGTCCGAAAGAGTGATGGCTTGCAGTACGACTTGCTTGCGCCGGACGTCGTCCTTGCTTGTGGTGGCTTTGAGGGCAACCAAGAGATGCTGGCTCGATATATTGGCCGTGACTCCCACAAGTTACCGTTAATTGCACCAGGTATTCGATACAACAAAGGCGCTGGTCTTCGCATGGCTCTTGAGGTTGGTGCCGGAACCGCGGGTTCTTTCGATGGCATGCACTGTGAGCTAGTAGACACCCGAGCCACGAAGCCGGATGCTGTCATTTGGGGTGAGACCTCCTTTCCTACAGCACGTTAAAATTTCTAACGCGGTCTCAGGACACAACTACGGCATTGTGGTCAACAAGGACTGCAAGCGGTTCTATGATGAGGGACAACGCCACCTATTCGCCACCTTTGAAATGATTGCGCTCTATTGCTGGAAAGACCACAACCAGTCCTGCTACTTTGTCACCGACGACCCAATCATGCAGCGCTTCAAAGGCAGCTGGGTGTATGAGACCACTGACCAGCCACCAGAGCAGGCGGATACGATCGAGGGATTAGCTGAGAAGCTTGGCCTCGATCCACAACAACTCAAGAAGACTGTCGACGAATACAACGCTGCGGTCAACGACAAGCCATTCGACCTCATGAAGCTCGACGGCAAAGCCACAACTGGCCTCTCCCCCAACAAAACCAACTGGGCCGCCAAAATCGAGAAAGGTCCATTCTACGGCTACCCGATGACTGCAAACCTGACTTTCACGTACGGCGGTGTGAAGACTGATCTTGATGCCCGCGTCGTGTCGACTAATGATGTGCCAATCCCTGGTCTATGGGCTGCCGGCGAGATGACTGGTCTTTTCTACAACGAATATCCTCCTGCTACATCGTGTCTGCGATCGATGACTTTTGGCAGACTCGCGGGTGAAAGCATTGCGAAAAAGCAGGGTCAGAAGCAGACTGTTACGATTGGCTTGTAAGAGGATTTTTGGAATGTGAAATCGAGGAAGCTGGATGTATGTACATCATTTGGCATGTTTTTGGGGACGATGGAAATGTAATGGGAGAGTTCGGAGTCGCATAGGAAAAGCCTTCGTTGCGTTTTCTATTGTGTTCATGGGAGACAGGTTGGTGGCGGCCTCATCTCAGATTCTGGTTGCTCAGCCACTGCGAATCTTTTGAGATATTTGCCTCAGTCGAATTTTGAGACGTTCGGTCCCCAGTCATCGCTCATTTCTTGTCTGAACGGTGGCTATATGCAGCATTACCGAAGATTGAATGAGCTCTCGTTGGAACCAGCTGCTAATAGCCACTCTGTATTCCGCTAGGTGTCCAATCGTTCCTTAGGGCGCTTCCGGCAGTGCGACTCCTATTCTTTGGACTCGGAAATCATCGGATCCATAACAACAAAGCGCATTAGCTACTCAGTGCGAGGGCCAGGGCGAGGAAGGATGTTGCGTGTGCTTATTTAGCGTGCTATTCTTCATCAGCACAAAATCCCCCTATCGCGTCTACAATGCTCCTACCTCAATCTTGGTAATGATCTTAACCTTGCGAAGATAGTCCTCGCATAGCGGCAAAGCCAGTGAGAAGTGAGCCGGTGCTCTACAATTACTCGCATCATTGCTAGTCGGATCGCCTCGAGTCGATTGGTGGGCGCCTCGGGCCAGGGTATAACGACATAAATCAAGCGCAAGAACCTCTTGTGCTGCGGCGTCATGATAGCGAGTAGGTCTTCCATGTGAGTATAGCTCGTCGCAATGATAGTGTTGGCGTAGTATTGCTCGGCGACCTTGGCGCGGGAATAGCGGTCAATTTGCATGAGGCTCCTGGGCATGTTAGCGCGAGATTGCTCGCTGAGCATCAGAGTTCCGGGCGCGACAGTGAAGGTTGCTTCGTAGATGAGATCGAAGAGTTCTTGCGGTAGCGACTGAACAAAGTAGCTCAGCGGACGAGGGCGGTTGCTTGCCATCTTGTTGCACGATGTATCTTTTAAGTCTCGAAGTTGAAGCTAGAGGTTGAAGCTCGATGGGTTTTTATATACTCTGCCCGTGGCTGGACCGTGCTTAATGCATGTGCTTGTTGTCACGTCAACTCACTTCAACAAAGTAAAGGACGCAGGCCCTCGATTTCGGATAGTAGAGCCTTACGGGACGAGCCTGGTTGTATAACTTGTAATATGCAGTGATTACCCCTTCTTTTTCCCAATATAAGATTCGTTCGAAACGACCGGAATACTAGCATTCGCGAGAGATAGATTGGCGCTAGCAGGCAATGTGTAAGTATAGTCTTTTATGCCGTATGCAGCTGGTTGAGAATGGATACGGCCCTTATCACTAGTGACTAGAGGAAGGCAGTGAGGATTGATATAAGCGAACATTTTCATGACCGATTCGGCGGGCGAAGTTGTATTCTTAGGAGCAGCGAGAGCTAGTCTAGTCGAACGCCGGCAATTAGTTGATCTTCGAAGTGCGAAGGCGCCGGGTCAACGATTATAGCGTTCTACTATTCATGAACTCTCTGGTAGGAGGTATTATTGAATATATGGTAGAATGGCCCCGATAATCTGTGGAGCATCCAGGAATGTCTAGATGGATCTTCGTGGCGGCCGTAAGGTTTGGATCTAGGGATCTTCTAATAAGAAGGAGCTGCCTGATTTGTTATGAGCCACATGATATAGACGGTATATCCTGATGCGGTACACATGGCGCTCGTTGATATACAGCCTCGTCGGTAATCCAATGTCGTTGTGTTGTGACGCGGTGCTGTCATCTTCCATGCTGGTCTGTGCGCTCTTGGCACAATCTCAAATCTTGACCCGGCCTTCCTCAGCTTCCTTCCTTCTTATTTACCCGCATTCAGACAACATATGTACCCGCATTTGACAAAACAACTATGACAAACACCATCATGTTTGTTGGGATAACGAGGCTGCTTGATAGAAAGAGCGCAGTGGACCCGAAAGCCCGGTCTTTGCCAGCACCTTGTAGAAGCTTGGGTTCAGTGGTAGCACCGATCTATGCCTGCAGCCATGATGCTGTGGTGCGTATAGATAAACCATTGTAGTCTTGGTTACGACCTCAATATCGACGATACTACCTTGGAGGGATGCCACTGCCTTTGAACACATCCCTAGACTAGACATGTCTCCGCTCGCAATTCCTCGTGGAGACGACGACATGGTTACGATGAAATACCCTGCGGACGAAGTGGCTGTTCAGTCATTTCCAGAGGCAAGAATACCCAAGATGTGCCGCGGACCGTAACGAGACCTGAGATGACTATCCAGAGGCAATCGATGCGAAGGGAATGAGCTTGGGGAAGTCGCATGTGCGAAAGACATTTGTGGTCGGCTCGTAGACATCCTGCATGTGTTCTGCATGTGTTCTGCATGTGAGTTGTCACAAGACTTCCTCCATACTCTTCATACTTTCCATTTGCCCGATTGACATTACTCACAAGAACAATCACCATTCGCAGCGGTAGAAGACCTCGATCAGCAAGAATCATGGCAACACAGCGTCCCATCTGGAAGCTCATGCAAGAGGTGCCGCAGGAGATCTTCGACAAGATATACGGCCTTACCTTCTCGACCGACTCCTTCCCAACGACCCACAACATAACCTCTTCAACACGTCCTCCAGCGATCATGCAAGTCGACCGTGCTTCCCGCACTACCATTCAAGCAGCATACTACTCTGCATCTTTCATCTTGCGCGATCACTTCCAGTGTCGTCGCTGGATCGATACACTCTCTGCCTACCAGAAATCCCTCATTCTTGGGATTCAGTACTCTTACCATCCCGACCAAGATCCGATACATGTGTTCTGCATGTGAGTTGTCACAAGACTTCCTCCATACTCTTCATACTTTCCATTTGCCCGATTGACATTACTCACAAGAACAATCACCATTCGCAGCGGTAGAAGACCTCGATCAGCAAGAATCATGGCAACACAGCGTCCCATCTGGAAGCTCATGCAAGAGGTGCCGCAGGAGATCTTCGACAAGATATACGGCCTTACCTTCTCGACCGACTCCTTCCCAACGACCCACAACATAACCTCTTCAACACGTCCTCCAGCGATCATGCAAGTCGACCGTGCTTCCCGCACTACCATTCAAGCAGCATACTACTCTGCATCTTTCATCTTGCGCGATCACTTCCAGTGTCGTCGCTGGATCGATACACTCTCTGCCTACCAGAAATCCCTCATTCTTGGGATTCAGTACTCTTACCATCCCGACCAAGATCCGATACAGAACCCCCTAAATGAAATGCTGAGCCGATTGTATCCATTGCCAATGTGGCAATATATTGAGACTTGGGAGTTCGAGATCGTTACCGCGAAATGGTGGAAGAACTAGAGGTAAGTATGTACTACGATTTCGATGGGAATGTGCTAAGAAAGCGTTCAGGAGCGAATCTGGTGCGAGTGGCGATTCTCTTCGATTCTAGAGTGGTTGGAAGTGGACTCTTACGTGGAGGTTTATGAATACACTTGATCCTTGGACTCGGAGACTTAGGGACTGCGGTGCTTTTATTTGGAAAGGCATAAGAAATGGCGTTTAATAATACTCTAGAGATGATTCAATGAAATCCAAAGTGAGCATTTAAAGCAGATTCATACATCGATTACGCACACTTATAGACTTGAAACTTGGACTCGGAGACTTGGGGACTACGGTGCTTCTAGTTGCAAAGGCATGAGACATAGCGTTTGATAATATTCTAGAGAAGATTCAATAAAATTCGAAGTGAGTATTGAAAGCAGATTCATACATCAATCACGTACTTATAGACTTGAAACGTGGACTCGGAGACTTAGGAACTACAGTGCTTCTAGTTGCAAAGCTACGAGATATAGCGTTTAATAATAATCTAGAGAAGATTCAAAAAAGTCCGAAGTGAGAATTTGAAGGAGATTTAAATATCGATTACGAGCTCGAAGACTTAGGGACTTCGGTGCTTCTAGTTGTAAAGTTATAAGAAATAGCGTTTAATCATATTCTAGAGAACATTCTATAAGTTCCGAAGTGAGCATTTGAATAAGATTACTATATCGATCGCGCACTCATAGGCTTAGTTTAGCGCAGTGCTTCTCGACACGAAAGCAGGAATATTGGCGCTCGGCGCTGCTTTTAGACACGATGGGGTGAATCTTTGAAAACTTGAGAAAAAGCTCACCGATTACGGACTGAAGGATTTGAACTATAGCTAACGTAGATTCTATCGAAGAGTTCTTTGGGTAGACGGTCGAGCAGCGTGCATAATTTATAGGCTTCAGACATGCTGTACGGGTGTGATGATGTTGGAGAAAGTACGGGTAGAAGTGCTACGTAAGGTAGAGCCTATGCGAGTTCGCAGCCTTAACCTCATCATCGAGACCAGAAGTTCTTCTGCCTCCGAACCGCAGACCTCTCTCCAAAAATCCTCGCATCCCCCATGGCCATATGCCCTATATCACCAAGCCTAATCGGAATTCCGAACCCTGTTGGTGAGTTGTGCCACAAGTGTTTGCGATTATCGATCCAGGCGCAGAACAAGTCGAACCAATATGTGTCTCGTCTTCGCACTACGAAGGTACGGCTGGAATAGTATGCATGTAGGAGATCGGCTCGCGTGACTTGATTGATTAGAAGGATAGATGGTGGTCGCCAGGATTTGTTGATGTAAATTTCTCGATGCAGTGTGGAGATGATGTCGAAAGTGTCGTTGTAAATTTGCTCGTAGAGTTCTGGTGGTAGAGTGCTCCATACGTAGTCTCTAAACAACGGCCCTTTGTTGAACTCTGTCTGGTACGTGTACTAGATTTTCCCAATTCGAGAATCCAATATGTGCTCGTAGCTACGTTTCCATCGGTAGATCATGGTTGGTGAAGGGAAAAATGAAAGATTGAATGAGATAGAAGGGGTCGACGGTTTTGTCTCTCGTTGTCTTGTTGACTTGTGTGATTGGCAGCGGGAGCCAAGACCGGTGAATCTGGACGTTATTGATCCAGGGTATCGCGACGAAGGTTTCGTGATTGATCATGTCGTAGAGCTCCAGTGATAGCTATTCGAGTAGCTCGCGGAGAAGAAGAGTTTTGTTCATTTTGAGATGTCGTGCGAGCGAGTTCAGGATCTTGAAAAAGGGACCGAGGATTGAAGTCGCAGCCTTGTGTCGTCCTCCCTTTGGGGTGCACGCTTTGACTTCGCCCTGCGCATCCACCTTTTATGACCTACTCAGTGTGTGACCGATCTGACTGGTTACAGCATAAGACAATGGGGGTGAAGGAAATCAATTGCGCAGGTCCAATATCCAGATACATGCGCGGTCGTGAAGAGTGTAATTCTGTCTGAAGCTCGTCTGTTGCCGTCTACTCCATTCTCCTTCCCTCACAAGTCAGCTGCATTTCTCTTGCACTCAGTCTTCCGCACTTACCTCACGGAACAGACCTTCGTTCCACTCTCGTTCTTCAAACATTCCGTTGAATCATTCAGGTATTGGCCATCCTTCATGCCAAACCCTTGGTGCTGAATCAACCAGACAGCTGCATCGATTGCTGGTTGATCCATGAACTCTCCGTGCACGACAAAGCCAACTTTCTGGACTAGAGAAGTTGATGGGAGCGAGTTGAACCAAAGCTTGCACAGGTCTGGGGTATTGAAGACGAAGGTATTCGAGTAGTAGGAATTCAGAACTTTGATCCTAGTGACGTGGTTGACGTGCATGTTAGTTGGTGGCCGGGTGGTTTTGTCAACGAGGATAACTGGTCTGGGAGTTGGTGTTTCATTCTTCTTGTTAGCAGTGTAGAAGGTCTTGTCTGGTGCGATCGTGAATGTCTCGTAGTAGATCAAGTCATAGAGCTCTTGTGGTAGAGTCTCGAGAAAACCTTTCAAAGAGCGCTTTGCACCTGTAGACATGTTGGGTGGTGTCTCGATGGTAATTTTGGATTGTTAGAAGTCTTTGTAAGTGTTGACGCAAGTTTATGTCGGCAGATAGAAAGATATTGAAGCGCACAGGTGAGTTTCGTGATTTAGACACGCACATGCTATGCGGAATTGCCGAAGCATGTGCTGCGTTGCCGCATGTCATGTGCTGCTTTTCGGAGCCCAATTCACTCACGTATTCACTCGTGTGCAAGCTCACTGAACCTAGAGACCCTATTGTACGTCAGCGGCAGAAAACCTCGATCACCTTTGTCCAGCGTCCAATCCCTTCGGAGTCTTTCAACCGGTATTATTGGTGTCATGGCAGCCACCATGAACAACGCTTTCAAGCGAACGGATTCAAACGACGACGCGAGAACGACTTCGATATTGCATCGATCGAACGGCAAACGTCGTTGCTAGGATGAGTGTTCAGCAGAAGCTCATACTGACGCAATCGCCATCTGCTAGGGATATCGACGGCGGTCGGGGCCATTTAGGAATCGATCGTGGTCTTGGACGAGGCGCTCGTATTCGGGTCTGACGACGTTCTATAGGTAAAATACAAATTTCAAAGCCGTATTCTGCTAATTCTGCCGAGCATAGAAAAGAGTTGTCTCTCGTCAGGCCTGTGAAAGGTGAGGGAGGTGGTCGCGTTTGTCCTGGAAGCAGAGGCAGTGGCAGTCGTTTGGCAGGGATGTAATGCTGGACCTTGACCGATCACATCGCCGGCGTGATTTCGCAGAGATCTCAGTCTTCAGCCTCCTGGATCAAGGCTGCTACGTGCAGCCGAGTACAAGACCACAGACTCCAGCCGTTCGAGACCGGCGTGTTAGGCTGAGAGAGAATGACCACGCCTAGCTCTCGCTTGCTCGCATGGGAGTCATCATATCTTATTTCGATAGAAAGTCACCGCTTCTGTTGGCAATACCACTTCTCGGCTTTCAACAAGAATGACGCTTCATCATTGTGCACTCCTCATGCGAGACCCTTCAGATCCTCTTCATACAACCAATTCACCACTCCCGCGATTTCCTTCTCAAACATCCACTCAATCCTGAGCTTCGCATTAAAACCCTCAATGCGATGCTCGTAAGCCCTGATACTGCCTTTCTCTGGAATCGACTCATTCCACAGCACACATCTGATATCCTTGACCATGGCCCGATGCTTCGGGTCCAGGGACATTAGCCAGCGCGTGAGCATTTCCTCCGAAGAGATGATGAAAGAGGTATTGCTGAAATATGATTCTGCGAACTTTGCTCTGGTTTGGCGATCCGTTTGAAGTAGACTGGGAGGACAATACGTTTCAGGCTGAATATGTGAAGCTGACGGGGGACTTGTGATGGTCTTCGTGTAGATGATGTCGAATAGTTCTCGAGGTAGACGATGAATGTGGTCGGTGAGGGTCCGAGATTTTGATGAGATTTTGGTGGTCATACTGATCAACACTCTCGAGTGATGATGGGTTTCAAGAAGTCTTGCCGATCCAGATGGGATCCCGTGACCAGTCAAATGCTTTCCAATGAAACTTGATGAATTGATGCCTGCGAATACACCCAAAAGTCCAATACGCCAGTCACTCCAGTGTAAATGAATCGAGATTCCGTCAGACGGGCGTGTTTACTGATCCATTGAGGGCGAGGGAGTTGATGGCAAGTTTTGTATCTGACCTGGCTTGGCGGATTCGGGAGTCGCGGTATCTCCGGGCAGATTTCTGGTAATCGCGGCTCAATTGGATGGTGCCATGTCTCCCCAAGAAACGCCGATCCGAGAGCATGCTACGGGCCAAGATGGTCGTTGTGTCCCTGTCAATGTCAGCAGCAGCGTGTCAGTATTTGAAGAAGCCATTTGTTTGTCCATGCATCATCGCCTTCCTCTCATACCGTGGCATATGTACATTTCTTGCCTCTAAACTATGCAGCTGCTCCTCTCGTCTGCTTCACGCGCGACACTTCCATCTTCTTACTTCGTCCGCACTTGCTTCAGCTTCTTCGGGCTGTGAACAAACTGGTCTGCGTATGCCTTCGGGATTATTCTCCTCTCGTTCGGTTCTTGCACAAAGTATTCGTAGCCCTGCTTATTGGCGAATCTGATAGCGTCTTCTTTCGAGTCGAAGTTCAAGTGTGTGCCTTGCATAAAGTCGGAGCTGGACTGCCAGCCCATCAAAGGGTTCTCCCATCTGTGGCCCTTGGATAGAAGGTCCCAGTCCATCCGCCAGTGATGCGAGGTCCAGTCGCCGGATTGTGTGGCAGGTTTTGCGGGCTTGTAGATGCTGCAAAGAAATGTCAGCGGGTGTGACTTATAGACCTGTTTGACATGCAGGGAAGCATACCGGACTGTGCGTGCTTGAAGCTCGACTGGTGCGCCGGAGAGCACAGCAGCTGGCGTATCGAGACCTGGTTCACTTCCGTCCATTACGCGCATTGGGACAGGCGAAAAGTTCCTGTTGCCACTGCATTAGCTACGTGCATGAAGGGATTCTTCACCGTTGCCTCCTTACGATGTCCTGTAGTCAATGGCCACATTGTAATCTGGTTTGTGCCTTGGCTGTCCTTCTCCCGGTCCTTCTTGCCTTACGAGGCCACTCTCTCCCAGCTTGCCAGAGGGTGAGGTAAAGGTGGACGCCGGTCCCGGCTGTGTCTTCTCCGCCGGCTCGTTGATCTTCGCGTTCGACTGGAAGCGTGCGAGGACGGGCGCTCGCTGGGACAGTGCTGGCCGACTAGCAGCAGCTCGGAACACTGATGCTGATCTGAGTGAGGCCATGGCGAGCTGCTATTGATATGGCCACTGGCAGTTTGGAGGTGAGGTTCAATGCCATGGTGCAGGTCATGCGAATGTGGAGTTGGCGATTGGCCGGGACGGGATGCCGGAAGTCTCCGAGCATTGAAGGAAGCACCACATCTCGAACTTCACAACGACCAGCTTCTTGCGCCAGCGACGACCACAGACACACAGCAGCCATGGTCTCTACAATCATCCCACCAAAGGTACAAACACTGCTGATGGACTTGTAATATACGCCTGCTGACATTGATGTGCAGATCGCCTCACCGAGCGTACGTACCTCCCGTCTCAACACATCCCTCGGCTGCGACCACGACAAGCTCTACGATTACAATTTTCTGCGATACTGCTTAGAATCGGGAAGAGAGAATTCTGAGAAGCATGGGGGCTGACATTTGCGAAAATAGGCCATCGGCGGCGCTGCAGATGCCGCGCGAATGCAAAATGTAGTCAGCTTTTACGAGAAGCTCCCACGCGGAGCTGCTCCAGTACGACAACCCAAGGGACTCCTGCAGAGATACCAGGCAAGATACATGGGCCAAAAGGCATCTGCATGGCGTAAGTCAACACCGAGCCTTTCCAGGAGGAAAAGACGGCCGTATGTCGTATCGGAAATAGGACTGACCAAGGCATAGCACTCGTCCACGTCATCGGCACTCTTATGGCGATTGGATACGCACAGAACTATTACTTCCATCTGCGTGAGTACCTTTCGAAGCTACCTTGGTGATAACGGAAGGCTAATAAGAACCAGGTCACCACAAGAACAACGCCCACTAAATGGGCTGGAAGCGGACTTGCATGATAGATGAGTAAGCGAGGCACAATGCATCAGACTACCTGTATATACGATACCGAAAGTGCTTCAGGCCCGCCGGGTGCCTTGTTTTCCTTTGTGCAGAAGAACGTTCAACCAACGGCACGTGACCGTCCGCCTTCCGCCTCGTCATTTCGTCAAGATGCTCGATTTGATAATCTCTCGCCGTGGAGTGCTGAGCAAGATCTCCTGTTCCAATATTATAAAAGCTATAGACCCCGTGAAATTTTTCGGAATAATAAGGGGTGCAAGTGCATGTGAATGCCGCATGCAGCGAGTGTATCAGCTGCAATCCATTCGCGGCTCGCTGAATCGTTTCCGCGGCGTGTGAACCGTGCACCCCAAGACTGCGCTTCCTTCGATCTGTCAGGACCACTCACCAAGGAGACAACACCACACCCACCACCCTCTCGCCACCCTTTCCTCCGCCCACGGTGTAGCCGCGAGGCAGCGACAACACCGCCGCCCAAAAAGCGCACCCGCCGCCGCATCGACATCGACATCGACACTAACCGACCCGGCACTTTGAAGCTGCGGCACCAAGCTCAGTCGCAAGCAGGAGCACGCTGGCAGATACAGGCATATTCTGACATTAGGTACGAGGCATCTACCGCTTTCTTTGCGCGCTCCGCCTGAACTCATCTGCGATATCGCGAGGCAACTGCAACCACTATCGCGTGACTCCAAGTCAAAGCCGAGGCGGCCACGCGGCAGTGAGCGGCATGTCTCAAGATGTCGCAGCCCCAACTTGCACACCCACGCATACAGACAAAGCAGCGCGCTCTGACACGACCATTTGCGCGCGCACAGCTTCGGATACTGTTATGGCAGAGCAAGCCACCCACAATGTGGTAAACACCGAGTCGAGCAGCGGATCCCCGCTGGTCGACGAGCACAACGCGCACAACCAATCCACCTCCGCCACCACCGGCACCGCCAATACCTCGACGACAACTACCCATTCTTCTCGCAGCGATCTTCTCGCCCCGACCAAGTCCGCCAACGACCATGCGACTCCGCTCGCACAGGCAGGGTCAGGCGCAGCCTTAGATGCCGCGGAACCAAGTGCTGGTGACGCGGCGAACAGGGTCGCGCACGCCTTGGGCGAGAAGCCAGGTCCAGCGCACGGCGATCTGGCGAATGGCGTTCACGATGAAGGAGATTCGCACGCCGACGACAGAAGCACTGCAGACATTTCTGTCGAGATGAGCGCAAACTCAGATACAGACAACAGCAGAGCAGACGCAGCTGAGAAGGAGCGTTCCCATCATGCGCGCACAAACTCAGTCAAGAAGCCGACTGCGTTCAGCAAGGTTACAGCCACCAAGAGCTTCATGAGCAAGATCGCTCCGACTGCGCCAACGGCTCCCAAGGTTGGCGAGAAGCGTAAGGATGCGACTGTACTTTGTGCCACTCCACGCGCTAATGAGTTATTAGCAAGCTCGCCTGCTTCGGCATCACTTCTGAGCAGCAAGCCTTCGCCCTTTTGGTCTTTTTGGGTAGCCAAGACTGGAAAGTCAATGCTGAAGCCAAGAGTGGCAGGAGATGGAGCCGGTGGGCCAGATGCTTCGAAAGTTTGGAACAAGAATCGTCCAGTTCAGCCGGCTCCTCCACGTCAGTTTACAGACGAAGAGTTGAAGCAGCAATATGGAATACATCTAGCTACTCGCCTGCAGAGCGACGAGAATGGCAAGGATTCAAAGTGGGCAGACATTGACGATGATGAGGAAGATTGGGCACCTGAAACGGTCGTCTGGATGGACGGAACTAAGTCTTCGCTCACTGCATCTGATCCGCCACCGCCTCCTGCACAAGCACAGAAAGAACAGAAGCCGGCACCACAGCAGCTGCTACAGAAGCCTGCGGATAGCGCTAAGCCGATGTTGACGATGAAGCGCTCCGAGAGATCCGGTCAACCCATGCAAATCTTGAAGCCTGGTGTAGCAGCAGCTCAGGCGAAACAGAACGGTCCATCAGCTGCCCCCTCCCCTGGTCCTGAGAAGAAGTCATTGACTGCGAAGAGTCCAGCACCAGCACCACCCGCGAAATCTCCTTGGGCAGCGGTCCCAAAGCCTGATGCGGTGTCTCCCATCAACATCCCCGTCCAACAGCCACCTCCACGACAGCCGCTGCCGTCTCAGGATGCTCGTGCAAGCGAGCCGATGCAAACACCACCTGCGAGAGAAATTGCGGCAGATACCTTTGATCGCTCATGGAGAGAAGGTGAAGTCGGACAGCGAGAACTTTTCAATTCATCGAATGGACGCTATGAGCCAGCACCTGAACGCAGAGGCTCAATGCGCGAACCTGCTTCTCGCAAGCTTGCTGTCCTGCAGCGACCCACTCAGCCTGGCCTCTCGCCCGCCGAGCCATCGGCAGCCTTCCAATCTAGGACGAGCGCGCAGATGGAAGGTAGTTGGGGGAGACGACGAGGATCTAGTGTCTCCCAAGGCAGTCTGCCTCCCAACCGCCGCATGTCGATGAACTCGCGAACAGAACTTGCTGGCACTCCCGAGATTCCGCAAAATGACGCACGGTCACCCACTGCAGCTCGAATTGAGCCCGTCCGGCCTTCTTTCGCGCAGCAATCCGCGTGGGATCAGCAGATGCCAGCCCGTCCGGCCGACAACCAAGTTTCTCCCGCGATCGAGGATCAAACTCCTGGCGAGGACCCGGTCAAGGCGCAAGAACGAATCATGCGCGAAAAGCGTGAGCTGGCGAAGAAGCGTCGACAAGAGGAAGAAGCCGCTGAAGAAGAGGCCAAACGCGAGCGGTTGAAGGCCAAGCTCGCGGCGCTCGAGAACGCAGGCAAATCCAAGAAAGAGCGCGACGCCGAAGCTGCTGCTGCTGCCGCCGCGGCGTCTTCAAGCAAAGAAGCAGCGACTGCTGAAAAGCCAGCACAGCCCGCCTCATCGGTCGCGCCATCACAGCCCCAACCAGCCAAGCCAGCTGCTGCTTCTGCTGCGACTGCACCAGCTCTAGAACCACAATCCATGCCGTCGCCACCGGAACAGCCTCTGCCTGCGCGCGCTGACAAACTGCCTTCGCCTCTGCCACCAAAGCCGCAGCCTGCCAGTGTGCCAGATCGACATTTGCCATCTTCCGAGCAACAGCCGAAGCAAGCGCCCATCGGTACTCGCCCATATCAGGCAGGGCCTGCTCCATACCAAGCGTCCAGCTCTTCGTATTCTTCGCCAGGCGAGCGCAAGCCTCAGCCATTTGGTCGTTCACCATTGGCAAACAACGACAAATTCTCGCCATGGCCAACCTCAGGCTCTGGCGGCAATGTGTGGGGCACTTCAGGCATCGGAAACGGCACCTTCGAGAGTTCGATCATGCCAATGTCGCAACAAGGCTCGTCTTTGCCACCACCTCCTGGCATGGCTCGTGGCAGCAACTCGGCACGCATTTCTCCTCAAGCTTATGGCTCTGAGGCGAGATCTCCAAATATGAGCACTCACCAGGTCGCCGAGCAGCAGCGCGCGTTTGCTCCTCCAGGTATGGATTCGCGACCAGATTCGTTCCCGAGTCAGTCGCGTCTCAATGGCGTATCACCTGCTCCAGGCGCCGGACGACCTGCTCCCTCGCATCCGCCGGGGCCAATCGGACCACCCTCGCGGACGCAGCAAGCCCAACCACCACAGCCACCGCATCAGGATCCCATCTCGGCTTGGAACAGCGCCACGACCAGACTGCCTCAGCAATACAGAGCTGATGTGGAAGCTGCTCAACAACGCCGCGCACAAGAAGCTGCGAACCCAGCGCCGCAGCAGCCTCATATTGAGCACACGTTCAAGGAGACATTCAAGAAGACTTCTGCCAATCAGGGCAGACTTGGCGCTCCACGTCGGTACGAGTCAACGGAATACACGATCCATGATGGCCAAGGTACGAGGTCGGTGTCTACTCTCAGTCCGGCGCCGCCAGCCACCCAAACGCAGCCACAAGCTCCGCTACCATCCATGTCTCCAGCTCAGGATAGATGGGCTCGGCCATCACACGTTGCCAACCCAGTTCGTATCCCAGACGGCTCACAGAATCCAGCACATGGCGGCATGTCGAGACAGCCTCCAATCGGCACCCAACCCGCCACTGCTTACCAAGGCAATGTTAGCGCTCCTCCTGCACCCATCGCGCCGGCAACCTCATCAGAGGAGCAGTCGCCGCCTCCTCCCGAGACAGAGAGCCACCCAGTCAATGAAGGCGATGCTCATCACCCACAGGTGAGACTGCCACCACCACAGGCAAAGGTCAAGCTTCCACCAATGTCCCCATCGAGCCAGGCTGCACAGCTCCCCCAGCAGAACGGTTCAGTCATGATGCCTCAGCGGCCATACTCGGGCTATGCTCCGCCAGGCGCTGCTCGACCGATCGTGATGAATCAGGCTTGGCAAGATCGATTCAATGGCTTATTCAATCGCACTACGGTCCAGGCAGAGACACCTCCATCACCGCCCAAGACACCACCCAAGGCTCATGGGCCAGCTTTGGCCGTGGCTGCTGCTAGTAGAGCACCCATGGACACGCAGGCTACCGGTGCAACGGTCTCGCTGCCTCAGTCCCAGAAGGCCAAGAGCACTTATGGCTTCACGATCGACAACGGCAAGGAGATCATCACGAAGCCGACCATCGACGAAATGTTCAACGAAGAACTCAGCTTCGGCTCCATGCCAAAGGTGCGAGTTCCACGCAACGTGCAGTACAACTGTCAACCATACGGTCCCACTGCAACGAATATGCTCACGCTCGGTCCGGCACCGAAGTTCCAGAAGACAGTTGAGGCCAAGTCGATCGACCGAGATCCTTATTTCTGGAAGAACCCGCAAGGCATCTTTGTTAAGATTCCAGGCACGAGATTGAATAACAAACTTTGTCGTCATCCTGAATCGCAACAAGGACAGGGCGTCACTGATGTTGGCAACCGGAAACCTAGCTACCCAGCCAAGTCTCATCAAGATCGCCCGGCCCACGAGCGCCAAAACGAAGATCGTCGGCCATCTGGCAGGTTTCACAAGAGTCGCGAGCACGACAATGCGAACGACAAGCCTCGGGACAAAGTGCATGACAAGGTCAAAGGTGGCAAGAGCAATAGCGCACCAGAGTCACCGCGCACTGCCACGCCAGCGAAGGAGTCACAGCCTGAGCCAAGAAAGCCAAGCCTCGCTCAAATCGATAGGGCGGTCAAGGAGGCTACTGGCATGAGTGATGGCAGCTCAAAGGCACGGAGGAATTTCAAGCCACGTGGTGCTCGTAATGCGAGCGGCAATGCTGCGCAGAGTGGTGTCGTCGCAACTGTAGCAAAGTCGGACTAGGAGTCGACTAAGCCGTGGTCACGCGCGCACCTTCCTACCTATTGAGACCTATAGCGACGAGGTCTCCAAGCGTGTTAATACAAGTGCTGGAAGAACAGCACAACGGCACGGTATTTTTGACATTTTTGTGGCATAAGCATGAGGCGGACGCTGCTGCGATGATATTCATTGTCGCTAATGAGTCTCTTGCGAATGCCGCACATCCTTTCATTTCCAGCTTCTGACGTGTGTGTTCGGGAGCTTTGTTTCGATCGCTCGGAAATAGAAGCACGGGAATCGAGGAAGGAAATTGTTTCTTGTACTTTTATGCAAACGCCAGTGAAGGAGGAGAGAAGTTGAGAAAGAAACAATTCATGGTTTGATACCAGGCTTCCATTTTACGCTCCTTTCCTTTCCACCTTTCAGACTTTCAACGTTGCTGATCGAATGTGGCCAGCAGGCACTAACTACCCCAAGTATCACGAAAGGAGAAATCGAAAGCAAGGCTCGGATGCATTTCATCGCGCATAACTGATAGTTGCCGAGGAAATGCGTTTGGATGAATCAATTCTCATGTAATCATCACAAGGGTTTATAACATGCCGCGATGGGTCGGTGTGAAGGATTGGGGCCATTGTGTCGATGTCTCGGGCGTGTTGGCGTCGAGAGGCTGCGAGAGTCGTGGGGGTGGTGTGAGGAGGAAAGGCTGTGAAGGTCGCATATCAACATTTTGGGAGCAGGGAGATGCTGAAATGGAGGACGTCAACCTGTAATACAAAGACAACCGCTCAATGTCCAATGTGTAAGCCTTGCCGATCCATATGTACATCGCACGTACAGACCAGCGGTCGGCGATTCGAGCGACTTATAGTTAATCGCACGCGCGTTACGTCGAGCGACCCATTGTGGGTTATTTGTATAGTGTTTTGTATAGGTTACACCTAGGTTAACACCTATATGGTATAGTATATAGATTTCTACCAAATCGCGTCGAAATCGCGTCCTCTAGTATATTCTTATGTTTCTTCTACCTTAGACCTCGTCGTCGCTATTGTCGCTATATCGATAGTATCTCTTATCGCTTAGTTATCCTTATTATCGCCTCCTATTACGTGTTCTAATAGCTGAGCCTAACAATATCGTATACCGCTTTTTTAAGCAATATAACGACTATAGGGCAAAGCGGCGTATTATTTATCGTTTCTACGATTACGACGATATAAAGGACTTAACGCGGAATAAGGAGCATATCGCGAAGTATAAGAAGCGGATAGAGGCGTAAAGGACGGGCAAACTGCCGTCGTCGCCGGAATAGATTAGGTTACCGCAGGTCGCGTTAACCGCCGCTTAGTACGACTATCTCGAGGAGTTATACGGTATAGTATACTTCGAGGAAAATAAGCCGTTTAGCTTCTTCGAGAAGATAGTAGTAAAGGCGTTATTTGCCGCCCTATACCCTTCGTTTAGGCCTCCGAATACGACGTAAATTCGACGTGTTCTACTACTACGGCACTTCGAGAAACTAGAAGAGAAGATATTAGCTAAAGTCGCGTATTGCGACGAGCTAAATCTGCAGATTAATAGTATCTCTAACGGCAATAGAATAGGCGTTACTACCTTATCGCTCGTCGACTCTACCGGCTACTATACGATTAAGACGCGTTAGATAGAAACAGTCGATAAATCGGCTAAAGAAGGCGCGCGCTAGGCGAAGGTAAAGTGCGAGTAGCTTACCGGCGGTAACCTCTCGAAGGTTAGCTTAATTGCCTTCGATACGTATACTACTAACCTAAAGATAATACGCCTGCTAGAAGAAGATCCGGACCTTAGTTACGTTATTATAGTGCCCTACGACTTATACGGCGGCGCGTTATTAATAAGAGACTTCTTTAAATATCCGGAAATAAAGGGCCTCTACGACGAGGCGTAATACGTCGTCTCTTACCTATTACGGAAGAAGGCGATATATTAGCTCTTAAAGAAGAAGCAAGTAGCAATCTACGGCAAGACCTTCTCGCTAATTAGTATATATAAGACTCGCTAGCCGACTATAATTACCTTGTTTAAGTCACTTCTACGTAGCAAGTATACCCTTTAGGAGCTAGTCCGTAACTATGCTTCTATACTAGACTTCGAGGCGCGGTCTATAATAATAGACTATATATTCTAGACTAATCTTTAAGCCGCTATCGACCTGCTAGAGCCGCTAAATAATTAGCTTATTCTATCTTAGTTAAAGGAGGCTATAATAGACAAAGTGATACCTCGGTAGTTTAGCTATAAAGCTACCCTCGAGAAGCAGATTAATACGAGTCTACTACTAATCCGAGAGCTATTCGAAGGTGTCTAATTTGTCCTTAATATACGGAAGTTAGTAGCTACGATTATAGGCTAGCAAGAGCGCTTCTTACGATAGGTAAATAAGCACTATTAGGCGGCCTATTATCTTAACCCTTCTATAGTTAGTTAAGGCGCTAGACTATTACCTACTAAGCAAGCGATTATCCTTAACGCCTTACGCTTAATAACCTTAGAAGTAGACAAGTAGCTATCGATTAAGTCGGACTTCTACGACTATATCTACTAGCGAGACGCCTTTATTGCTTCTAACGAGTGCTAGTTACGCTATAGTACTAATATAAAGCTCTTCTAGAGCTATAGAGCTACTACCTTACCTTTGCTATCGGACTATACCTTGCGGCTTTGTTAAACTACTGCTAATACTATTACCGCCGAGCGGACGTTCTTAGCCCTTAAGCTAATATAGACTAGGCTTCGTTCTCGGCTTACAATAGAGCGACTTAACTAGCTAATCTTTATCTACTTCAACTATCGAGTCCTTCGGAAGGAGCTAGATCTGTCTGCTAAGAAACGGAAGCGTACTACTGCCCTAGTAGGTAATACGTTTATAGCTAAATAGAATAAGACAATAGATAAAGAAGAAGCCGCCGCAGTAGCTAATACTATAGTGCTATTACAAAGCGCAGTCTATAAGGCTATAAGCGACAGTTTAAATAGTAATCTACCTACCTATAACGAATACGTAGAAGAGGCGGAGCTAGAGACTACTTTTAGAAGGGCAGATATTTAAGATTTGTTAGTATAGGTCTATACTATTCTATACTGAATTCTGCTACAAAATCTATATAGGTTAATGCCTAAGAGTTGTGCCTTGCGACTTAATAATAATCGCACTATTTAGTGAGTTATTAATAGTCGCACGCGTGCGAGCGACTATAGGTCGGCCGACCCCTAGTATAGACCTTATCGAAACAAACCAAGCATCTCTACCTTGTTACGTAGAGATGTAGACTCACGGTGTATTTAATTTCCGGGCTTATGAACACGGTGTTCACTATATAAACATATACGAGACACAGATTAGTCAGCAAGTGGATCTAGTTATTATAGCGTATCCTATACAAAGTAGAACAATAAAGGAAATAAGACATATAGAAGGTATATAGTAACAATCTTGGTATAGACAACAGCCCTACTAGCTATTACTATCGGCAGTAAGGTCGACAGCGTTGTTGCCGCTATCTTCGTCTATATTGTCGCCGCTATTACGAGTATATTCAAAGTCGCCTTATAGCTTGAATACCTCCTTTAGTATGTCCTGTAGATCTACATAACTGTTGTCTATAAGCCTGTCGTCGTCTAGTCGATACTTAATGCGTAGATTCCAGTAGATGAAGACTAACTTCTCGAGTATATCGTAACTCAATCTGTTGCGCTTAAGTAACTAAATAAAGCTATAGGCTAACCAGTTGCGCTCAGCAGCGCTAGTTGTTAGACAGATGGACAATAAGAGCATACAAAGGTCGGTAAGCTCAGGGTACGAGTCTCGGAAGTTATTAGCCTACTATAATAATAGTGTCGGACTCTTGCTAGCCGCCTATATAACAGGGTCACCGAATAGACCTTGTCGGCTGCGGAGCATAAAGATATCGTTTAGAAGTTGTCCGGCTCTTATATAGATCTCGTCCTTCGACTCGGAGTAGTTAGGGCAGGTAGTAGACATACGTTGCTAGTTAGCGCAGTATTCGACGAGGAAGGGGGTAAGAGAGCGGACCTCTTCGTTAGTAACGAAGAGGAACTGCTTGTCGGGGTCGGAGCGCTCGGAGACATTAGCGAGATAGGCAATTAGCATAAGAGGCTAATAACTAATAGCGTTGTTAGTCTAGTAGAAGGTTTAGTATAGTAGCTAACCTATAGCTTCTCCTATCGCATTTCGATATAGACTTCTATCTCCTTATTCGAGACGAGGTTTAGTGCTTTGTTAACCACCGCATTTATTAGCTAGCGCTAGTTACTATAGACATGTAATAGCTTAGGTCTGTCGGCCTCGAGAGCGATAGTAACCTTAAGGAATAGCTCTATAAGGTCGCAGTAGCTAAGGAAGGAAGAAGTCAGTTATAATAGGTTAAAAGCAGGCTTTAGCACTCACCCTCTTAGATCACGCTAAAATTGGCCCTCCTTATACAACTTACATATTTCTAACTATGCCGTCCGTTACGCAGAGGTCGCTCCTGCTAATAAGCGACCCTCGTAGTGTGTGCGAAGCTCCTCGATCCAGTATTTATTAACAAGGACGCTTCTATAGCAATATAGGTCGGCTTGCTAGCGGACACCTCCGGGGACCTGAAAATGCCGTACTTTGCCCTTAGAGATGTCTAGTAGTATTTCGAAAGCGAGGTTAGTATATTTGAAGTACTCGGCGATGGATTTAGCGTCGTTGACGATGCGTCTAATGCTATTTGGACCTGTTTAGAAGGAATGAAGGTCGGAAACTAAGAGCTGCGTAAAATAGGATGCACATCCTAATCGGATTAGCCCCGGATGCTGCCGGACGCACTAAGACTTATTAGCGCTTATCTATTAGTAGATCGGGACTTTCCGCGAGGGGCAATTGCTAACCTTAGATCTTCGAAACATACCTCTTCTGTTGCCGCCTTCATTACTAACGCATTATTAGCAACTATACCGACTACCTTGCCCGCCGGAAAGTTATTAATAACCTCGAGAAGGCCTTTAGCGTAATTACGAGCATCGCTCCTATTAGCGCTAGTAAGCTCAGACTTTAGAAACTATAACGCTCGAGGCGTAACAGCTAAATAATTAACGACCGAGCGATGAGCGCGATCAGACTAGCTATTAGTTACAATATATAGGCGCGTACTCTTATTAACCTTAGTCATTATCTCGGCATACAGCTTCTTATAGATACGGGGCAACTATACGTATCGAAGCTGCTAGCGAGTTAGTGGTTTGAAGGCTAGTCGCAGCCTCTTTAACTATCTTAAGAACGCTAGATGCTTAGTCGCGCTTAGTAGACTACTAGAGGCAAACACCTACTTAGCAACTAACTCGTAGAGCAACTCGTGCTCCTTTAGCGTTATCTTATCGACGAAGCCTAATACACCGACAAGAACGACCTCCTTACGCGCCGGACGAGCGATTTCCTCGACATCTTAGTCCTTAGCTAAACTAGCTAGTTTAGCTGGTTTAGCTAGCACTAGCGACTCCGTATCCACTACTTCGTCTACTAATTAAGGTTAATAAGTCGGCTATAAGCTCTCTAGCAACAACTTACACTTCGTTAAGTGATCTACTACTCGAGCGCGCTTATTTAATACCTACGAGTTACCGCAATAGTTATACTCGACAGTAGCGTATACCTTGCCTTTTAAACGGTCTCTAGTGACCTCGCGCTAATATACGTCTTCTATACGTTTTCGCTTGCTAAGAACATAACGAGTCGGAGTTGGAGTAGATAGACTACTAATAGCAGTAAGCAGTAACTGCTAGCTAAAAGAGAGGTTGTCGGACATGCTAAAAACGACGGAGTATTTAGTAGCGGATTGAGGACAAAACGACTAATAGAAGAGAGGGAACCTAATAGTCTATCTATACACAATCTACTGCAAAATAGCCTATATTATATGCTCTCTAGCACGGTCTCCTTTGTCCGTAATCGCGGCGTTCCTACTATCGAGTTCTCGTCGGTATTCGTTATATCCTAACCTAGTACACCTTAACCGGTCTAATAGGCTCTTAGCCTTTTCTTTAACTATCACATTTGTATATAGATCGCTTACATTCGCGATACTAATACGAAAGAACGCGAACAAACACGCCCTCGAGGTAGTACGGACCGGGGCATAAAAAAATCTCTGCAGCGCTAGTGCCTCGAGAACCCGGCTAGGGCGGCAAACCAGCCATTCCATTCCAGCCATTCCAGCCACTTATCTAAGTGATTATTACTAATCTTATATTCACCTACGTGTTCATAAGACACGCGCTAAGGTAGTCTGTGTTCACCGTGTAATAACGGTGATGTTTACGGCTGTGCCATTGTGTACAACATCTCTACTGTTACGGAACAAGGGAAGGAACAGCCAGGGGTCGGCTGACTAATGGAGCGACGGCTCTACCTCTGTAATTAACCTTCCCCTTCTACACAATCATAAAAGAAATGACAACTTCATAACATACCCCCTTTCCCGCTCACTCATTCCATCCCTCTCAGCCATACCAGCCCGCCCCTTCTTCAAATCCTTCAAACTCGGCAGATTCCGCTCAATCAAACGTCAAACCACAGAGAAGCAAAGCAAAGCAGCACCCGACAGTCCAGTCCAGCACAAATCTGCACCTGTATCTGCGTAGCGAAACATGCCGAGAAAGCCTTGCCCGCAGCGGTGACTTGAGTTGGAGAAAATTCTTGGATTACATGTAAAGACTTCCGCAGTTGAGGAATCTGCGTCCGGTGACAGAATGCCAATGAGATTTGATTCAAGTCGATGTGTGAGGAGGATGCTCGCAACAGAGAGTCCTAAATTACATGCGAGGTTGTGATAGGAGGGCTTGTGCGGAAGCTATATAAAATTCACTTGAAGTCAGTGGAAACTTTTCATGCATTCGAATGTTGCGTGCTAAGAGGAAGGTAAGTACGAACCGACTTCGACGAATTTCGCGCAAAGTTTTCTCAAGACTGTGGTCGAGGAGAAGGTCAAGTCAATGCCAAGTCCGAGCAGAGTTTCGAAACGGTATAATTTGTCTGGAAGACTGCTTATTAGAAGGCCGCAGCCCAACAAGGCGAAAGCGCAGCCGGCTGTTAATGTCTGGAAGGGCAGTGTTCGCTTGCTTGAAAGAAACCGATCCCGGTCCTTCTCTTTGATTTAGCCTCGGAAAGGAATCTCAGGTGAGTTTGAGTACATGTACCGTACCTAGAGCAGACGCACCAGACACCGGCAACAAATCGATTCCGGCAGCTTGTGCAGATTCATCATTCAAAATCTGCGATCGTTGCGGTAATCCAATCAAGAGCGTATAATTGATTGGTGCTTGAGCAACACTTCGGCCGTACGATGAATGCGCCATTCGTGTTTCGAAGCTGCTGCGCATGCCCACGACATCGCTTTAGACCTTGCGGGCGTAGAGCGACATGTTTCAGACAATATTTTGATAGTATGCGGTCAGCTATGAATTGAATGTATGCGCGATGAAGCTAGTGGCGCTGATTGTTCTGTGGAGTGTGTTCGGCGAGCGATAGTTGTCGATACTCGTTTCGTTGATGATCTGTGGATTGTATGGTGATGTCTCTGCCGGTCAGCCGAAGTCACTTGCGAGCACGCAGCAGGTTCTGCAGTGTATGGATGTATTGAGGTCTTCCATTTGCTCACTCTCGATTGTTCTGCATGCGCTGCCATCTTCTCGCCTCACGATCGTTCATTTCTATGCATCATCTCATGCACATCTCGACCTATGGTGTAGTTTCTCATTAACAACGCCGTGCAAATGCAGGCCCGGCCGGATATGCATGCGGCTACTGTGCTCCTTCCCAACGCCACGCAATATTCCTTCGAATCGAGGTGGCGCTTACATGAGCCCATATAATTCAAAAGCAAATGGGTATCCAGACGCTTCATTCAAAAATGCAAATTCTCCAATATTTCCGTCGCTCGCAAAGCCGTTTCTGGGCCATTGGGGCTGCTTCGCTAGTTACGTGCCAGGCCGCGGCCGTATCTTAGTATGGTGCGGGCGAGAGTGGCGTCGCTGTTCGTCTCTGGCTTTGCTGCTTCTTTCTTCATGCCTGCTCATCCATGAGACTCGCTCCGCTGTTCGTGATGCATGGGTCAACGATGCTGCTTCGACCGCCCAGGAATCATGATGCAGCAGTCGAGCCTTCTCTCGACACTGTCCTCCAGGTAGTTATGTTTCGCGTCCAAGTTCAGCTCACTCGATGAGCGGTCTTCGCTGTCCTCCAATCATGCACACGCCAAGCGCGCGAAGACCAGCCGGGTCATTGGCTTTTATGATTGAGGCGGCCGGCAGCATGGGATTGTCCGGCGATATGTGTGCAGCATCCTTTGCGGCCTGTTCGATTGCTTCCATTTCCTCCTTGCAGCCGGCGTGATCGAACGGGCACACCACAATGGGTTGTCTTAGAAGGATGTCGCGAGCCGAAGACATCTTGGCCTGAAGCGGGAATTAGCGTGGCACTAGAAACCTTGCACATTTGCCGAGAGCTCACCTTGACTGTGAGGTAGTATTCGATCTTGTACAGCGTGCCAGTAGTCGTGAAGCCGCTCACGCTGTACATGGGAAACTCTTTCCTACCTCTCGGCAATACGCCTTCATTGTCTCGCAGCTCTCGTGCGGGAAAGACCAGGCCGAGGTTGGTGAAGTAACCTGCTTCTGGCATTCTCACGCCCACACTCTGCTGGTGCTTTGCCAGTGTCTTTACCTTTCGCGTCGGCTCGTCGCCTTCGGGATTGTATATGATTTCCTCGTCAATGCCGACTGTGATACTCTGTATTGTTACACGCTTCGCCTTGGTCAGCCAGTCAGGGTTCGGCGACAGCTTGATGTACACCGATACAGGATCCAGTGGTCCATAACTCCAGCGTGGTAAGCTGATGCCAAGCGTCACGAGATGGTCTGTTACGCGTTCTGCGCTCTCGGGCCTGTTGTACATGCCGAATGTACTGAGTGTGTCGTAACGCGATATGGGTACGGGGAAGGGGTATTTTCGCTGCTCTTGGTGGCCTTGCTGCACTGTGACTACGATCTCGTAGAATGTCTCTGCCGTTCGCTTGTCCAGCTGTAAGCTCGCAGGCGGTACCCTCCTCGCAATCTCCTCACCGCCTCTGCCGTAAGGTATGAATATGACAAACGGTAGGTCCATGCACAGCACTGGCTCGAACTCTTTCCCAGGCGGACATCTGAACAGTAGCATCTCCTTGCCTACTATGTCCGTAATCTCCTTCCGATTCGAGGAGTTAAGGGTGCGCACGAAGGAGTCGGCATTGGGTGATATCGATTCGCGCCGCTGCAGCGACACTGTGACCAGGGAGACATTGACAGGCGCGCTGACGCCGACTGCCGGCCGTACCTCTACTCTCCCTTCTATTCGTGGCTGTTTCATATGAACGTTAGCTCCATCGTAGCATGGTCGTGGAGTGTGTGCCTACCAGCGTCGCAGAGATTCCTGGATATCCTACGAGGAAATTGCTATTGGGCGGGCCTGACACCCTCACAAAAGCTGCCATCGCTCATGGATACGCGCGTGCTCGTGTGTCCGCAGCGTGGTGGATGAGCCGGGCGTCATTTGTCAAGCATGCGGCACCCCATGCGCTTCGGTGGTGCCGCGCACTGACGTTCGCTGTGCTCCTCCAACACTCGTCGCTTGGTGGCGGAGATGGCGGTCGGGCGCCGATGTAGTAGTATTGCTGCCGCTGGAAGAATATAGCGTGGTCGGCGAGGTCGCGTGCGGTCGAGCGCTGGATGTGGCGCGGTAGAAGTAGAAGCCTGGACTGAGGTGACCTGGCGTTCAGCCTTATAGCTCAGGACGCCGTATTTGTGGAGAGCGCGTTGCGTTGCGTTGGAATCGCCTCGGTTGCGCATACAATAGGCGATGATTTTGACGGCTATTAGATGATAGAGGTAGTCGAGTCACGGAGATGAAGATGATTCTATGTTGCAACGAATCTACAGTGCACGATGCTTTCCGCCTAACTCTCTGCCGTGTCACTGCCAACCGTCGGGCCAGAGAAGAGGAGCGGGCGGGAAGAAGAAGGCTTACCTAGCTAACTTAGCGAGTAGTAGGTAGGGAGCCTTGCTCACGTTTCAGCCGCGAGCCAGACCACATCCTGGCCAGTGCGGAGCATCAAGGGATGGACTGTTCACTGCAAAATCCCAAATCCTGGCCAACCTTCGACTTCTTCCGCCGCCAGCACCACACGTCTGGGCACTGAACTGTCACAGCGCAAGTCTGCAGCTCATATTCCAACTTGCGCCCGCCGCGCTGCACCTCGCAACTCCCCTCGATTCTCCGGCTGACTGTGACTTCCAAGCTGCGTTGGCGCTCCATCTGAGCAGGATTGCGCCGACTTGGTGGCGCTGTGCTGGCTCAGTAGGTAGGGTATCACCGGCCGGAGCACGCAATTGGCGACAGCATGTCTGTAACACTCGTCACCACCCATGGCCCGATCAAGCTGGAGCTGTTCTGCCAGGCTTGTCCAAAGACCACATACAACTTTCTCGCTCTGTGTGCGAGCGGAGCATACGACGACTCTCCCTTCCACAGACTGATCCCGAACTTCATGGTACAAGGAGGATCGCCAGCGTCGGGCACTACCAAAGTATCGGAATCCATATGGGGCGGCTTTTTCGAAGACGAGATCAAGCCCAGTTTCCGACATAATGCGCGGGGAATTCTGAGCATGGCCAACAAGGGCGCGGCGACCAACGGCAGCCAGTTCTTCATTACATTTGCAGCGGCATCGCATCTTGACGGCAAGAACACTGTTTTCGGAAGAGTGCTGGAAGGGTGGGATACTTTGGACAAGATGGAGGATGTGAAGGTGGACAAGAAGAGTCGACCAGAAGAGAAGATCAAGCTTGAGCGAGTCCAGATTCATGCCAACCCGCTTGCTGATGAGCGATGAGGATTTGTTGGGAGCAGTATGTGATATTGTGACATCGGCCTCCGTGCACCGGTATCGAGCGATGACAGCTGCAGCAGGAGACATGTGCTAGCACGTCCGGGCTTGGTGGCTTCTTCTGCTACTGGACTCCGGCGGAATGCTCCCCTTCGAACACTGCGGCGGGGCGGCGGCGGGCAGGTGCGATGTGGCGCTGTCCAGATAGGATGTTGAGGTAGGACGCGTGGCGATGAGCGTCAAGCGTGAGAGAGGGCATGAAGAGAAGTATGGATGATGATTTTCTCGATTCACTCTCTCTGTCGCGCTTGCCTCACTTTTACCTTTACCTGCATGTGAAAGTCGTCGCCTGATCGCGAAAGCTGGCACGTGCCAAGCGACCGTTCACTTTCAACGGCTCTTGGTTATGAACGCAGACTTTTCGTTTCTTCCGCACTGACCAACATCACGACAACGCCACCGCGACACCTGCATATTCGGTGCGACATCCGAGAAGTCTAGGCTTACGTCTCGCGCGACTACCCTGCTCGAGGCAGGAACACTTCCAGATGAGTGATCTCTGCCACAATTGCGGCGACTGCCACCTCGGCGCAATACCGTCGCCATGTGCGCAGACCATGAACAATTGCGGCATCTGCGGGTATTGGGGCCATACGTACAACTTCTGCCCGATGGGAGTTCACAAGATGGAGCCCGGCTATCTGGTGAGAATGCGTCGCGCCTTCCCCAGCACTCGAGACTGACACGATGACATAAATAGTACTGGATGCTGTGCCACAACTGCGACAAGTGGCACCTCCCGACTCCTTGTCCCGAGCCATTCCGACAATGTGGCCGCTGCGGGAATATGGGCCATCTTGACTACTTCTGCGCGACAGATCCGAAGCCACGACCTCCGCCTGGCCAGAAAGCAGTCGCTGGCAATACCACAGCCGCCGACAAGCCATGCTCGCAGCCTCATTTCCCTCCAGGCATGCAGTTCCCCGTCACGGACGTGAAGTACTGCAATCCGCGTAAGTCCCGGACAGCGTCATGCTCGACCACTGCTGACTGATTGCAGACTTCATTGCCACCCTTCAGGTCAAGGCCGTCACCGACGCCATGGCCATGCTGAATTCTGGTTTGCCCATGCAGCACGTCATCAGTCATTTTTGGCCGCCCGGCACTCGACCGGCTCTCCAGACAGCTCGCGTGCTTGCTCCAGCTCAGACAGCCAGCGTGCCATCTGCTCCGATGCCTGTGGCTGGACCACCAGCTCAACTGCCGCAGCCAGGACAGTTACAGCACCACCATACCATGCCACAGAAGAGCGTCGAGGTCATTGACATGGGCAGTCCGGACTCAGAGCCAGCTGCCAAGCGCCGTCGCAACTCCGCCTTCGAAGCACACAGCCAAGGCGAACCACCAGTGCAGGAAGGAGCGATGGAGCAGAGCCCGAACGCCGATCATAACCAGATCATTGCCGTCTCGACCGCTGTCAGCCCTGAGACACTTCCTGCTGAAGCTCCTACCGAGACTGCACCTCAAAGCAGTTCATCTAAGAAGGGCGCCGTTTCGAGGCGCAAGGCTTCTGGTGGCACTCGCTGCAGCGCCTGTGTTCGTCAGCACAAGAAATGCAAGCACAATGGCAACGGGGGCCAGCAGTCTCGCGAGCAGAGTGCCAGCGCTCCTGATCTCACCCAAACCGAGGGACAAGTCTTCCGCGCGCAGGCTTCGGCAGGCGTGCAAGCTCCTGGCCAGTTCTCTGCTAACAGCAACGACGATGTCTTCGGCGGCAATCACCAGATGATCGGCTTCAACCTTGATCAGCGGTATTCAGGCGGTATGGGACACATCCAGCCACTCCAGCCGCATGAGCAGGCCGAGTTGCACAAGCTTCTAGCTCCTTCTGAGGTGGCTGAAAATACCACACCAGCTGCTGCTCAGAGCTACGAGGTCTTCCGCACCGGCCAGGATGGTCAAACAGGCTGGGCTGGTGGCCCAGTGCAGAAGCACATGGAAATCCCGCAGACCGAGAATGTCGAGGCTGGCAAGACGACGAATCCTGCCCCAAAGAAGCGCGGAGGTGCTCGGAAGAAGACTTGAGTACGAGGACGATATCAAAGATGAATAGTGGCTTCTCTGCTTCGTGCTTTGCTTACTGTGTATCATTAGCGTATACTCATGTTGCTTCAAGCTCACCGCCCAATCACGGGGCGAGAGAAGAGCTTACATCAATCAATCAGTAATCATCTGGCTGCTATAGACAGCGCAGAAGTCGTTGCTGCCAATGAGAGTAATTTAAGTTACACCTTCTTACAACATCTGTGCTGCCATTCTTACAGGTCTGCCGAATTACAGTGCATATCATCTGCTCATATCAAATCCTCCACCGCCGCAGGTTAGAGTCGCGACCTCACGGAGAATCAACTCATTTACCACTCTGTTCACAAACGTCTAATAGCACTGATTATCAGAGAGTCAGGCCCGGATATCAGACGCCACCAGCAGCTTTGAGCTGTGCAACACCAACTCTGAGCCATGGCCACCCCCACCTACGTGCCCGTTATCACGACTCAAGACAATCAAACCTCTCACCCTCATCCAGAAGTAACCTGGTAAGTCCCACCCAGGCCATTCAGCGGATTGCTCAAAGAGAGTCTCGCGGACTCCCTTCATCGACCAATCGAAGATCAATGGTAATCACTGACTGCATGCTTCTTGAGAGCATCTCGTACTTAGCAAAGTCAAGAAATCCTCTGAAAGCTGCATTTTCTAGCATCGTTTTTTTTTCCTCGAGAAAACTCCCCCCGAACCGCTGTAGGATGAATCGAGAGGTGACCAACGTAAAGCTATTTCGTGACAGGTACATCACCATTACATGTAAAGCCCGCGGTCACTCACCTGAGCAGCATCTTAGAACTATCTCTCGCTCCCTGAAATCCTTACGAGCAAGCATCGCCAAAATCTGACGTGAAAGACTCAGTGCTGCCCTTGGGCTCTCCTGGTGGCGAGCGTTGCGTTAGAGCAAAGCTAGCAATTGTTAACCTCCCTATTCCTTGCGTAACAGTCCGCCGGCATCAAAAGAAATTGGCACGCCCTCGTGCCGTCGTCTCAATCTAGCTCTGCGCTCGCTGAAATATTGGCATGGTCCTGTTGTAACCCGAGGACCTTAGTACTTATCTTGCCATGGAGCCGTCTCTGCGTAATGTGAAGCTACTGGGCATGCTTGACTGGCTCGCTCGCAAGAACCTCTCCACTCGCTCTTTCTCTGCTTGCACATCAGCAGAATCGGACAAAGATCGAGAGGCCTGAAGACTTGCCTGACAATTGAGCTGCTCGCTCGCAACTTTCCAGCCATTCAGGTGAGCAGCATTTGTCCACCTTGATATTCACACAAGCAATTTCCGAGCTGATGTCCACCATAGCGGCTCTTGGATAAGATACAATGAGCAGAGATTGTGCCTCGTCGCGGAGTTGAGGGATGAAATCGCGCAATATGAGTACAATTGTTTCTCAAAACGCTACAAACCCAAACGCCCAAATCACTCAGAATGCCTGCCCCTCACTTCTGCGGTAAGCCGCTCGCGAGATTGATGGTATCTTAATGCCCCAGTCGTCCTTTCATCAAATGCCCAGCCCAAAAACCAAACTCGGAAACAAACACTAAAAACGCCGCAAAATGGTCTTCTATGCATTCTCTCCCTTGACCTGGCCGCCCTCCAAGGTCGCCTCAATGCGCTGGTAGAGGTCGGAGACGTTCTTCGTGCTGCGGCGCTTGGCCTTTGGTGGCGCGACCTCATCATCAGCCTTGCGCTTCTTCTCTCCAAGCACCTTCTTGTACTCGAAGCCGACCTCCTTAGCGCGCTCATCGTTCTCGAGCTCTCTCTTGGTTTTGCCCCAATTGCCCTTGAAGTTAGAGATCTTGCGCTGAATAGCGCTGCTGGTGGTCGACACAAGCTCATCGAATCGCTGCAGGCGGACGACATCGAAACGGATGACGGCGTAGAGAGCGATGGCCTCGGCAATCCTTTCGACGTGAGTGGAGCACTTCTCGATGTAGTCGCTACGGTGGTAGCGGAGACGCTTGACGCCGATCTCGTGCGCTTCGATGATGTTCTTGAGAAGGACCCAGCAGGAAGCTTCGATCTGCTCAGGTGAGAACTTGTTCATCTTCTCCATGTGCGCTTCTTGGTATGAGATCCACTGTTCTTGGTCAGCGTCGGACAGTTGGTGGTACTCTGGCACATCGCCGTAAGGAAGGTCGAATGCAGCTACGAGCTTCTCAACATGCTCGGCTGGGTTGTTCTTGATGTGGTGCCAGTCGTCGCCACCAATGTTCAAGCGGCTGCGGTTGTAGGCTTTGGCCTCAGCATCTGCAAAGCCGTTGTAGATGAGTCTAGATGAGCCGCGAGGAGGTGAGATCTCATGGACATGCTCTAGAGGTGGTGTCCGCGAGGCCGAAGATGAGGGTGGCGTGAAGTTCTTCTGCACTGGACGTCGAGCACGTGGCTGCGCAATCTTACGCTTGTTCGCAGAGGAAGGCAATGGCTGATGGGTGTCAATGGCAACAGGCTCACCATGCTCCGTCTCGGATGAGCCTGGCGCATATGAAGTACTGGAGTCGAAACCGTGGATGTGAAGTGATGACGGCGAAGAGCGGGTGAAGTCGCGGGGCAGCTGATGGTAGTCGAAGGGAATGAAGTTGCCCTCTTCTGGGTCGCCGAAGTGTGTGTTGAGGTCTGAGGGGGGAGTACCGTATGGTGGTGTGCCGTTGACACCGGTGTAGCTTGCATAGGACGGCACATGCATGTCATCGAGCTGGCTGGCCGGATGCTGCTGGTAGCTGTCGTCATCTTTTTGGTGAGTATAGACGGTGCTATTGAGTGGGAGAGGTTGATAGAGGTTCATGCCACCGCTGACTGATGGCATGTAGTGACGTGTGGTGCCGGTGCCCATGGAACCGGTTTGGTTCTGAGCTGGTGCGCCAGGCTGAGCGTCAATGGTAGTATAGCCGTAGCTGTTGCGAGTAGCAGTGAATGGTGAGGTAGGGTTGCCTATGTAGGAGTAGCCCATTGATGGCGCGATGTTTGTGTTGGTGCCCAAGCCCGCGGCTGGGTCTTGGTGGCTATTTTCAGGCTGCATGCTGGCAGCAGTGTGGTCTGGCAAGAAATAGTCTGGACGGAGGCGGCTGGATGAGGCGCTAGTCATGGCTGATGCTGGATCTGGCTCAAGGGTAGGCAGCTTTTGTCTTGCGTGCTCGCTCGTCGTGTCTGGGATTTAAGTCTGAGTCGAGGTAAGTAGTGAGGCTGGAGGGAGGCTTTGTGTTGTTTTGGTCTTGAAGCTTCGAGTCTCGTCAATGTGCGCTGCAAGTCTCGGGCTTTCCCGTGCAGAGGTGGATTTTCGCTGGAACTTCGATGTCGCTGTCGACGATGTGTTGAGTCAAGGTCGTCGAAGCAGATTGCTTTTATACCCGAGGTAGACATTCTTCTGACCATTGCGCGACAATGGAGAAGCCGCTCGCCATTGTTTTTGCTGCTGTCAGTGCCCCCAACAATAGGACAAGGTGGCTGGGAAGAAGGTGAGGTTTCGCCAGGACCGTGCTCACAATGACGGCCGCAGCTTCAACAATGCGATGAAGACAGAATTGGTGTTGACCGAAGTGCTAGCGCTGGCGGGAGAGGTGGTTCAGATGTAGAGAGGACGGACTGACTTGCAGCAGGTTGAGCAATTGCAACGCGGGCGGGCGGTCGACTTCACTCACCTGTCGGATGCAGCCGAGCTGCCCGCGGGCGTTTCAAGTAGTACAAGCTGACTGAGGAGAGGTCTTGCCCATTCATTTGGCCAGTCGCTGGATCCTCACCACATCCTGGTCTCCTTGCGACAGCGAGCGTGGCCACCAAGCACGAGTATCATAATCCTCGCCAGCCACAGGTCATGAATGGCATGCGGGCAGCCGTCTGCTCTACCTACGATATTGCCATGTCAGCATCTTTCACACAGCGTCACAGCGATTCTGCCGTCACCGTTATTGGTCATGTCCCGATGCTGCAAAGCACATGGTCTTTCTGCTCTCCCTCCTCGAGCTGCGGTAGCCATCTTGCCGCCGAGTTCCTGGAATTCAACGATCAGATGGGTCGAGTAGCCATTTCCTGTCAGCATCATCAGGATTCGGAAGGAGGTATCCATGGACCAGACATTTTCTACACTGCAAATTATTCCTCGGTTTGGTGATGTCTCAAATCATCGTAGCATTGCCTCGATGTCTCAAAAGGTCAATCGGCATCGAATTGACATTCTTGGGCTCTCAGATGAATACCGAGGTCTTTGCTTTGAAAGTCTTTCCAGATTGGCAATCGATGTCACGGACATGCGAGCAGATTTCGTGAGCGAAGATGTACGAAACTGATCGTGGAATGATGGCCGTGGGCAGTGGTGCTGGACCTTGCGCTGAGTGTATCATCCGTATGGCTCTCTCAAGCGCAGCTGTACCAGGCCCGATGGAGCAATGGATTTACGCTCTGCCATGTGCCTGTGGCGGTCCAAAATAATGTTGTTGTGAAAGAGGAGGAAGTTGAACATTCATCGGTCCATGGAGCGGTATTAATCTTCCGGTGGCGGACCTCAAAGCAAGATCAGATAAATGCTTATCAGATGGTCTATACTAAGTTCAGGCAAGCTTTGATGCAGCTCCGATCCTTCTCTCCCCCAACCCTTTCCCTCGCCACTTCCCCGAGCCCCAGCTACCCGCCCGAGCCCCAGTAGATATACCAATATAGAATCGGCCTGAATGAGATTACGTGGCGTTTCCACCTATTATATATTATATCCATTCTTGGTTGGTAGCGCGGAGCGCGTCACCTAGGAGGCTAGGAAGTGGCGCCTACACTACTAGTACTAGTAGCAACAACAACAATAATAGTCGCTTATATAGCTAACAGGACGGCCACTTCACTACTAGGTGCTGTAACAACAGCACTATCAGTTCACTTAGCAGTAGTATTATATACAGTAGTAGGCTAGTTAGCAAATAAGGGACCAATATAAGCTAGCATATATAGCATTACGTGGCTATAAGGCTGCAGGTCGTAATCTATTTAGACCTGAGTAGATAGCAACTAACAATACCTTGAATTTTGCTATACTACTGGTTTGCTAACAAACTTTGGCTTTATTGCTAGCAGCAGTATAGAAGTGGTTGCCCGGTCGGTAGTGGTTGCGGGGATCCGGAAATCGCTTCCCTACGCGATTTTGTTAGGAACAGCGGATTCCATAATCCACTGTATTACTGGGGCTCGGGCGGGTAGCTGGGGCTCGGGGAAGTGGCGAGGAACCCTTTCTCCTCCAGCCCGACTGTGAGTGCAAGAGGTATAGGAGCCAAGGCACGGCCAAGCATGCGCGCCCGAGCGATGGCAACGTATCCCTCCACCAATAATATAATCTCTCTGTGAAGGTCTCCAGCACAGGTAGGTCTCGGAACTTATTCACACACTAAGAAATGGTCAAATTCTACGACTCCATTTGCGAGGACCACCAAGAATGGGCATTAAGCCAGTCCGTATTCTTCATTGCATCTGCACCGTCAACAGGCAGGCACGTCAATCTGTCGCCAAAAGGCCAGCCGGCTGCGACGTTGACCATTTTCCATGGCAATCTCGTGGGATACATGGACGCGACAGGCTCCGGCATTGAGACAGTCAGCCATATCTACGAGAACGGACGAGCAACGATCATGTTCTGCAGCTTCGAGAAGGCGCCACGTATCATGAGATGGTTCTGCACTGGCAGGGTGGTCGAGACCGATCATGCGGACTATCCGATGTGGACGGACCAAATGGGAAAGAAGGAGTATCCCTCTATGAGAGCAATCATTTTGCTTCATGTCTGGAAAGGTCGGTCGCAATGCTTCGTCTTCCATTGCCTTGGCTCATCGGCTGATCTGTAAGCACAGTGCAGACATCTTGCGGCTTTGCCGTACCCCTCCTAACATCCATCCACGATCCCGAGAAAGGCACACGTGGCTCGTTTCAGGAGCGCAAGACGCTTGAGAACTTCGCGATCAGGAGCATTCCGTATCCTGTTGAGATGGGCCAATACCGGGTGAAGCACAACGCGAGAAGTCTAGATGGACTACCGGGCTTGAGAAAAGCAATGAAGACCAAAGGCGAGAACATACTTGTGCAGAAACTGTTGTGGAGGGCAAAGCAGGCATTCGGACATTGGGACTCGATGCTGGTTGGAGCTCTGCTCGCTCTGGCCCTCGTAGCGCTCTACCAAGCCCTTTCGACATTGCGGATACAATAAATTGCCGTGGTCGTCGGCTTCTCTACTTGAGTACTGGCGGCTTTAGTCCGCTTTCCACCACAAGTTGCGACTGCCTGCTGCTAAGAACATGTCTGGCACAGCATACTGGGCACTGTGGGCAGCCTCTCCAGGGCACCATTTGCTCTTTTGCAATGATTAATCACGTCACGTGCTCCCTTCAGCACTCCTCGGTTATCTCCACACGCACTCCTCATCTCGCTTTCAAGCCTGCATGGCTAGTGCCGAGGGTCTGAAGTTCTTTGGCTGCAATCAAAATGTCCTGATCAAGCATCAAACTTTGTTCCGAGCAGCACTGTATAGGTGGGTGCTTATGGATAGAGAAGCTCCGTGCTTGGGCAGTCCTCTAGAATACTCCATCATGGCTGCAGATCCAACTAGGCCGGTTCGCATTGCAGGTATTACAATCGCTATCAATACAGCAGCTCGGAGATGACTGACTTTTATAGGGGCATCTGGCTCTGCAAGTGACCGCCGACATGCAATGGCCCAACTAGCTGCAAACCATCCCGCCGATCCTATAGATGTGATCATTGGAGACTGGATGAGCGAAGCCAACATGAGTCTGTCTCCCCGATGCTTGCCATTTCAACCAACTTCTAACAAGTGGTTATTGTAGCCATTCGTGGCGTCATGAAGACAGATCGTCAAGCGCAGCTAGCAAAAGAGCCTCATCGCCCTACCAACACTCTAGACTTGGGCACTGGAGAAGCATACGAGCCAACTTTTCTGGAAGCTCTGGAGCCTGCACTCGTCAACATTGCGAAGTACAAGATCAAGCTTGCTGTCAATGCTGGAGCATCCGACACCAAAGCTCTACACAACATCGTAACCAAAATGGTAAAGTCGAAAAGTTTGAATCTGAAGGTCGCATGGGTGAGTGGAGACGAAGTCTTCGAGGCAGTACAGAAGGCGCGCAAGCAAGGCACAAGGTTTGAAAACATCTGCACGGGAGAGCTGCTTGCAGACTGGAAATTTGAACCTCTCTACGCGCAGTGTTATTTAGGCGGAATAGGCATCGCGGCTGCCTTTGCAAACGGGGCTGATATTGTGGTCTGCGGTAGAGTGGCAGATGCGAGCCCTGTTATCGGCGCCGCATACTGGTGGCACGGGTGGAGCAGAGATCAGCTGCATGAGCTGGCAAATGCATTCGTTGCTGGCCACATGATTGAGTGTAGCAACTACGTTTGTGGTAAGTCTATAGAGTGGGCAAGTTCGTTCCAATAGAGACGCTGACGTCTCGAAAGGTGGTAACTTCACCGGCTTCAAAAGTCTGGAGAGCAAAGGCTGGCACGACATTGGTTATCCAATTGCAGAAATATCAAGATCGGGACAGGTCATCATCACCAAAGCCAAAGGTTCTGGAGGCGAAGTCAGTTCACAGACGTGCTCCTCGCAACTCCTTTATGAGATCCAGGGCCCATGGTACTTCAACTCAGATGTCACCGCGGTACTGGACGAGCTCTGGTTCGAGCAGATCGGAACAGATCGTGTAGCTTTGCGAGGCGTCAAGGGTGATCTGCCTCCGCCTACCACAAAAGTCGGCATCACCGCAAAAGGCGGATATCAAGCGGAGGTGCACTGGTTCATATGCGGCCTTGACATTGCAGAAAAAGCCCGAATGCTAGAGGCGCAGATACGACATGAGCTGAGGCCATACTCTGACAAATTCAGCAAGCTCGAATTCACGGTCAATGGCAGCGCTGCTGAAGACCCAAGCAACCAAAATGCCGCCACTGTCGATTTCCGGGTCTTTGTTCAAGCTCCAAATGAGCAGGATATCATGCCGGCCAAGTTCTTGAGGCCTGCCATTGACCCAATCATGGAAGGCTATCCCGGTGCAACTTTCCATCTCGATTTGCGACAGGGCTTTCCCAAACCGATCCACGAGTACTATGTCACACTGCTGCCGCAGGCAGATGTTGATCACAAGGTGCATCTATGGGATGGCAAGACCATCGATATCCCGCCCCCTGCGCACACCAAGACGTATCCAGCCCAGCAACCCAGCGAGGCCGCCGCACGCAACGTAAAGTCTACAGACTTCGGATCAACGACAAGAGGACCTCTGGGCTGGATCGTCCACGCCAGAAGCGGCGACAAGGGCTCAAACGCCAACGTCGGCTTCTGGGTACGACATCGAGATGAATGGGAATGGTTGAGGTCTTTGCTGTCTATCGAGACGATCAAGAGACTTCTGGCCGATGAATACAAGGGCAAGAAAATCGTGAGTCCTCCTCCGTACATTTGTTTTATCAAGCTGACAGTTGCTGTTTGCAGGATCGCTTCGAGCTCCCAAATCTCTATGGCGTACATTTTCTGCTTCACGATCATCTCGATCGAGGGGTCAGTTGCTCGTCGTCTTGTGACTTTTTGGGGAAGAATGTGGCGGAGTATTTGAGGGCGAAATATGTTGATTTACCGACGAAATTTTTGAATCGTGGGAAGTTGTAGAGGGATTTCTTCAAAGAGAACGAGGAGGAAGGATTTCGAGGGACTGCTTTCATTCGTGCTTTTGGAATATTGCTGCTCCGTGGAAATGCGACTCGCTGCTGATTGCTGATCTCCGTCACGCCGAATTTTGAAGCGGACTTGACTCTCTGGACTGAGTGAGCATGGAAAAGCTTCGTCCTTGTCTTGCGAATGGCTTTATGTTATCCGAGCGAAGCGAAGTAAACAGGCATAAGCCGAAGCATTCGAGGAGCTTGCGACGAGGATGCGAAGGTGTTGTCTGTTTACGAGCTGAGTGGAAGAACAGTCAGAATTTGTGTACTCAGGCAGGAATTTGGATATTACGTGCAGAGTGTTCGCCGGGGGTTCAGTTTGAAGATGCGCTTATACAAATCCAGGCTCGGCTTCTGATTGGAAGAAATTAAAATGTCCCCCCCCCCCCACGTGACTGTGGCCTTATCGCCTTATAGCTTCGCTTTGGCACTGCAACAACGACTCGGAGATGTGGCAATAGCGACAGCGATATTGCGACAATGCGACACGATAACAAGCTGCTGAGCAACAAATTCTGACAGTTCTTCCACTCAGGTCTCGCTTCGCTCGGCAACCCTCAGGCAGCACCTGCCTGTACGGTACTTTATGTGTTTTACAGTCAGGCTTCTACGGTACATGAAAGCTGTGGTGAGGATGGGTTGTGGCTGTATGCGGGAGTGCTTACGGGGGGCTATATGTATAAGCTGCCGAGGTAATCCAATTACCGGTTGCATATGCTAGTGTACGGACATTTTTGCGTATCGAGGGATAAACGCCAAGTTTTCTACAAATGGAATAAAGCAAGCTGCCCTAAGGATACTATGTATAGTAAAAGCCCGCATAAGAAAGTAAAAAGGTAGACGATAGTTCTATAGAGCTTTCGCAATATTTCTATAGCACAGCCATTTGAATCCCCGAAACTCTCTACCTGCGCCACACCGGCAACAACAAAATATACTTTGGTTGAAAACTCTCCAGCATTGCAATGAAACGCGCGTCCACCAGGGGAGAGCCTGTGCGATGATGAGAGGAGTCAGCAAATATTTGACACATGGCTTCTCATCAAAAGTGGTGCGTCAGAGTCGGTCATCAGACGCATAATCATTTGCCTATACGACATAGCCACAACAACATACGCCCTTCCATGCCTACTACACTGCGATTAAGCGAGATGGCGGACGGGGGTAATCCCCGTAAACGGCAGCTAGCTTGAAAGCGTTAGACGTGAACTTTTTAAAGGTACGGATAATTCCTTTGGGCAGTACGCTAGCTTTGACCAGTTAGATCCCGTTTTCAGGGATTACCGCCGTCCGCCATCTCGCTAAATCGCGGTGTACTATACATAAAACCCAAAGGATGCAAGAATGATTTTAACCTCCCATGAACCTTCTGCTGCTTGCGTCATTATTATTTTCTACGAGTTTCTATGATGTTGTTCCAAAAGATCTTGTCTTCGGCAGTCAGGACTGCAATTATTGCCGCCGAAAGCGTGCACGGGCATACCTTCAAAGCACTCGTCTATCGCGGACCAGCGGCTTGCGACGGATGCCCGGAAGCGGTGGCCCAGCTTTTGAAGTCGACGCCGGGGATGAAGATCGATGTTACATATGTCGGACCTGATGAGGAGGTGAAATTGAACGCGGAGGCTTTGGAAGGCGTGGATGTTTACGTTCAGCCGGGCGGTGGAGGTAAGTTATTAAAGCACGCGGCAAAGTCATCCATGAAGTAGACGTCTGATTGATGTTTGAGAATTGCAGATGATGTCGACGAGACTTGGAAAACAGACATGAAACAATACTACACGGAAATCCGCCACTTTGTGGAGAACGGAGGGCGATATCTTGGATTTTGTCTCGGGGCGTATCTCGCTGGGCACACGCCTGGGTTCGATCTTCTGAACAAGGGGGATGATGTGAATACTGAAACCGAAAGGAAAGGTTCCCAGGTCACGAACACAAATGATACGATTATTCAAGTCGATTGGACGTTCGCTTCTGGGAAGGTCGAGATGAAGCGCTGGCTGTATTTCCAAGATGGAGCTGTGATGGTCTTGGGTAAGAACTCTGACGCCAAGGTTCTGGGGAGGTATTCGAGTAATGGTGATCCGGCTGCGACGTTGAATCAGTTCGGTGATGGGTGGGTTGGACTGGTCGGACCACATCCTGAGGCTGATAAAAGTTGGTGTAAGTGCGGCCCATTTGTCTCGTCTAAGCTCGTGTGCGGATATGCTGACGGAAGGTGTAGACGCCGACGAAGACTTTGTGAATCCTGATGGGATCAAGTTCGACATTGGTCATGATTTTGTTCAAACGGTCCTGAATGCTGGGCACAAACCTGAGACGTATGGTGCGTCGCCACATTATGACCTGGCACCAGCGCAGTCGTGTGGTGTGGGAAGAGAAGTTGAGCGTGGCATGTAGCCCGTCATGAGAACCTGCACACTCGGGCGTACCAACGATACCTTGCCATCTTTGGGATGGTGGTGTTGACCTCTGATAGGAAAAGGTCCGCGGCGAGATGAGATGCCGCAAACAGTCCGAGGCACGAGGAGAAGTCGCATAGCGAAGCTTTTTGTCTGGTGTGAAATGCGAATGACGGGAAGGCTTATTTGGCCCAGGCCAAAATACTGCGACGTGTCTATACCGCCCGTAATTTCAATGAACCTGGGTGAAAGCCTTTTGGCATTGATCGAGACACTGCATGTGTTCACTTCAGCCTTTGGCGGCGTGTATCTTGCCGCTGACGCATTGCACGTGACCACAGCCTTGCTTGTTGATACCCTTGCACTTCGCCTTCGTATCCTCGCCCCACTCACAGCTTATTCTGAGCTTCTTTCAACCTCTTACCTTCCTCCTTCAACTTTTCATCATCGTCTCTATCAAGAGGCACCTGCGGCATGAGAAAAAAGCACAAGCAAAATGCGAAGGCCGCCAAAGATGCTCCAATGAGGAAGATGATTCTAAAGCCGTCCCTGTACGCTGGAATGATGGTCTGACGTATCTGATCAGCTTCCGCCACCGAGCGATCGGCAAGGTATGCTTGGGGAGATTTCAGGAGCGCTGCTGTGTCTTCTGTGTCGAGATCCAGAGACCGAACGGCTGCACCAACGAGGTTGTTGAGAATGGTGCCGGCGACAGCTAAGCCGATGCTTCCAGCGAAGTTGCGAGTGAAGTTTCGGAAAGAGGTGACGACGGCCATGTCTTTGCGGTCGACTCCGGCTTGCACGGCAATCAAAGCTGGTTGCAAGGTGTTGCCGCATCCGACGCCAGTCAGGATGGCATATCCGGTCTGTTTTCCTAGACCATCGTTGACATCCAATGTTGAGTAAAGACCAAGCCCGAGAGCCCAGCAAGCCCACCCAAAGAGTATTGATTCACGATACCGCCCGGTCCAGTGTACGACAAGGCCAGAGATGGTGCTCGCGGCTGTTTGCAGGAGTGTGATCGGCAGAAGGAGTGCAGCAGAGCGTACTGCAGAGTAATTGTAGACGATGTGGTAGAATGATGGGATGTAGTACATCTGAACCAGAAAGTTCCAGCCATTGATCGCCATGGTAAGACAAGCTCCGTTGACAATCTTGGCTTTGAAGATGTGAAGAGGCACAAGAGGGTATTTTGGTCCCTTCCATTGCCAGACCACGAAGCCAACAGACGCGCACAACCCAACGACAAGCGTTGCGACGACGTGAGCAGAATTCCAAGGATATGCTGCACCGCCCCAAGTCAAAGCAAGGACAATGAGTGTGGCTCCGGCAAGCGCGAGTAGAGCGCCGAAGAAGTCGATTGCCTTGAGCTTCAGCATCCAATCTCCCTCGACTTTCTTCAGCGGCATCAAGAACACAGCACAAGCAGTCGCTAACACAGCCAGAGGCAGATTCAGTCGAAAGATCCACCTCCAGCCATTTGTAGACGAAGATGCCAAAGCGCCGCCGACGATTGGACCGATGCCATGGGCCAAGGCAACGACGCTGCCAAGAATGCCCTGGTATTTCCCTCGTTCGCGCAAAGGCACGACATCACTTACAATCATCTGCGCCACAGTCATAATGCCACCTCCGGCAATACCGGTTAAAGCGCGAAAGACGATCAGCTGAATCGAGGTGTTTGCGAGCGAAGCACCCAGGGAAGCTATGAAGAAGATGGCAAGACCGATGAGCAGGATGAGCTTGCGTGACCAGATGTCTGAAAGCCGGCCGTACAGGAGTTGGAAGCATGTGGAGGTGCTGTGGCAAAACATGTCAGCCCTGCACGTGGCTTTCTCTCGTTTCGTGGCTTCGTGCGCTACTCACACGAAATAGGCACCGGCGATCCATGCTTGCTCATCGCCCGCGTGCAGTGCGTTGCTAACGATTGTCAAACTGGCGGCGAGTGTCGTCTGGTCCATCAAAGCAAGAAAGTCGACCGTTGAGCATGCGAGGAAAATCTGCTCCAGGGTCAATTCCACGATGACGAATTGGAAGTAATCTACACATACGGTGATGATGGTTGATTTTGGCACGTAGTACGTCTGCTCGTTGAAATCATGATTGTTTGGCTTTTCGTCCTGGTGGTGCAGGTCAGATGTTGACAGTTCGGCTGCGCTGTCTTTCGACGGTAAGCCTTCTTCAGCCCGTGCTTCCTTGTCCATGGTCGTGCGAAGCAGCGAGTTGTATTGTGACGTGGAAGCTTCCAGAGTACAGACGAGGTTGCGATTTGCCGATGTCTCGTGTAGCGGCGTCAATGATGGTTTTTAGAAGGACATCACCAGGATGGGACTTCGAGTTTCTGCAAAGTGGATATCCAAGCGTGGCACGTAAGATCATCCGGAAGATCATGATCGCAGAGCGCTGCCGCCGATGTTCTGTGCTCCAATTTCGGCAATGTGTCGAAAACGACATTGATGTGCTCTGGGTCCAGCGCCCACGCCTCCTCCGTCATCACGGCCAAGTGCCCCCATCGGGGGTTTGAAATTACACGCCTGGCTGGCGATGTTTGCCTTCTCCGAGGTGCAGCCCGAAAGTGTTGCGCGTTCGTGCTCAAACTTGCTCATCACCGTCCCGGGCCCAGCCGCCGGTCAACTTGCGCAAAGGAAACGACTTCTCGCATTGTTTGCACAGGAGACGTCGAAGCCACTCACTTATTATTACGCCAAACACATCAAATATGCAGGCGCATGCAGCGTGAAAGCTTTCGTGCGTCTCACGTGCGGCCGGACATGGCTAAATGTAAGAAGATCCCGGTGGCAACGGTCTTACCATGTTGACCCGACCTAAAATCTGACCTTGACGATACACACAGCCTTGAGACGAAGCGAGGCAGTGAATTGTCGTGAACCCTTGCATCTGCGAGCCGGGGAGGCACCGTCGTGGCGACCACTGCAGCATCCACCGCTGTCGATAAGCGTGGGCCTTCTCAGCCTGGAGGCCATGCCATGCCATGCCAGGCCATGCCATGCCACGACATGTCTCGTCTCTCTCCTCTGCAGACTGACTGGGCCCACGCAGTTCATCAGAATGCTGTCTATAAATGACTCGCCCGACTTACCATCCATTTCTTCTGCAGCACTCACTCCTGTGCTCCACCACACTTTGCGCACACTTACCAATCGTCATGGCAAGCATCAATCCCCTCAATGTGTATACAGGCACCGACTCGTTGAAGAAATACTTCAATCCTGAATCAGCGCCACCGCTGCCACTGGTCGAGCTTCCTCCACACCTCAATCCATACTACGACCATGGCGTCCGAATTTACGCCAAGATGATGTCGTGTCATCCTGCGAACAACGTCAAGTCAATGCCGGCAATGAACTTGCTCCAGAAGGAGGTGCACCCAGACAAGACCAAGACGATTGTCGAGTACAGCAGTGGTAGCACCGTAATCTCAATGTCCATGGTTGCCAGGGTATTCCATGGCATCACAGACAGCCACGCATACCTCAGCAACAAGACCACCGAAGCAAAGCTACGTCTCATGCAATTCTTCGGATTGAAATTGACCCTGTTCGGCGGGCCCTCTCAGCCAGACCCTCGGGACGAACGTGGCGGCATTCAAAATGCGCGATTGCAAGCCGAGCGGTCGGAGTCGACAATCAACCCGAATCAGTACGAGAACGATGCCAACTGGCAGTCGCACGTGAAGTGGACTGGACCACAAATCCTACAACAGTTGCCGCACATCAGTATCATCTGTGCTGGAATGGGTACGTCTGGGACAATGACGGGATTAGGCACATTCTTCAAACGGAGTAAACCAAGCGTCTTCCGTCTTGGTGTATGCACAGCAGCCGGTGATCGTGTGCCTGGTCCGAGATCATATGCTCTATTGGCGCCCGTCGAATTCCCTTGGAAGCAAGCAGTTGACCATGTAGAGCATGTGGGCTCCTTCGACTCTTTCTCATTATCCCTGCAGCTCTGCCGAAACGGACTGGTGTGCGGGCCTTCCTCTGGCTTCAACTTGCAAGGTCTCTTCAATCTTCTAGAGAAGCGCAAGCAAGAGAGCACACTCACACGACTTCGGAGCGACGATGGTCTAGTCCATGCGGTGTTCCTCTGCTGTGACCTGCCTTACCAATACCTCGGAGAATACTTCGATAAGCTTGGACAGGAAGCATTCCCGCCGATCACCAACGAGTACCTCACCAAGGTCGACAAGTACCGGTACGATGAAGCATGGGAGCTTTCGCCGTCTACCGCTCTGCCATTACGAGACGAACTTGTTCTTGATCTTCGCCGGCTAGCAGATTTCCGAGAATTTCATTTCCCCTCCTCGCTTCATGTCCCGTTGGACACTCTCGACAGCTCAAGCCCAAGCCCTTTTTACGCACCGGAGACTTTATCCAGGCAGTGGACAGAGCTTGAATCTCTATTCAGCCAATCGTTCTTGCAGTCCCAATTTGCAGGTCGAAAGCTGCTTTGTCTTTGCTATGACGGCGACACATCCCGGGTTGCAACGAGCATATTGAGAGCCAAAGGCTTTGAGGCTGCTAGTGTGAAAGGTGGTTTTCGCGCCCTGATCGAGACACATCCATCGCTCAGTGGCCTTCAGGTTGTGGCAGAGAGAAAGAACAATTCGGTTGTTCTGACCATAACCGAGAAGAGAGCCGGTTCGCCTGCATTTACCACAACGGACAAGAGGGCCGATTCTCTGATGGACGAGTGGAGCGACAGAGCCCTGACTGATAGTGATGACAGCGACAAGAAGAGCGAAGGATCTCTCGAGAGCGATTCAGAATGATTATCTTTCCAGCGCGACCACGGACCTTTGCTCCTGGTCGCCGAAAGTTTGGTTTTCCCATGCATGGCAGCTTCTGATACCCAGTTTTGAATGTAACATTCGTGGTCCATCACATCAATACTCTTTCAAATGCCATTCTCAGGCCTCGTTCGACGAGCCACGATTCGAGGGCTTTCATGTCTCCGCGATTCGATCTTTCTCCTCTCTTCTCCAGCTGATCTGTGATTTCTTGCATTCCTTCGAAAGCTCTCACAACATCTTGAGTCTCACGGTGTCGCTCCGAGACCTTTTTGTGCTGACTGGGAATGTCGCCCCATGACTCCGTCTTGATAAACTTCATGTAGTCATCAATGTCTTGTGCACCGCCTTCGAGGCAGAGAATTCCCGGCTTTCCTGCAAGCAGAAAGCCAGAAAGTCCATAGCTGGGCCCGTACTTCACTATATCATCTCTTTTCTCGCGTGTGCCAATGGATGGGAAGTAGAACCAGACTCGCACGATCGGCTGCGAAGATGCCTTCGTTATGGAAATGCTCGACTCCTGGCGTAATGTGAGATAGTCGCTCGCCTGCTCTCTGACATGCTCGATGGCAGACAAGGCATCCTCCTGTGGCATGCCATTTATGACCTGGGCGAGCTCCGCCTTCGTCAGCCAATCTGGTTGTCGGACTCTAATTTTTAGCGGTGGAGCTTCTGGAGCTGTGTTGTCTCGTGTCAGTGGTACTTGGATGTACATAGAGATAGACCTCGCCTCCCCGACCTCACGCAAAACTTGCAGGGCGAGTGTGAACGAAACAGCTTCCGGAACCCTTGCCGGCTTCGCAGCCTCAACGCCCTCACACCATTGTCTCAAACTCGAGATCAATTGCTGGTTCTGCTCGTCTGTACTGAGTTCGTCTTGCTCAGGAAACATCGCCCGCAGAAGGTCGATTTGATCCAGCTGGTAGGCCAGCAGATCGCAAGGTAGATGCTCCACCGCCATTGTCTTCGACGCGACGAGAACACAGGGTAGAGCTTAATGCCCTTGGATATGCCTCGGAGCCACTCGTCTCCCGATCCTACTTTGCTCGAAGCCCTTGCTGCATGCGGGGACTTGTCGTTTGGAGTGTTGGTTGGGGGCGAAGGGATGTTCCAAGGTGGTGGGAAGACTAGATTGTGTCCTTATCAATCGCCCAACAGGCGTACATCTCCAGTTTCCGGTCTATTATAAGTCTGAGAGCCGTGTCAACTACACGCGATGTGTATGTGTATCCCCTAAACGAACTCCAGGGTTAAGTCCGTAGAACCCACACCCCTGCTATCCCCTTGGAGGGTTCTATAGTAGATGCTAAATTCAGTGTGGCCGCATACAAAACTGCATCGCCCCTCGAACAGCGATCGTGTCCGATTGGGTCTCGGATTTAGCCGTAGTGGAGCTCAAGGTTAAGAAGCCGATACCTTTACGAGTCGTCGCTAGTAAAGGTTTTGCAGCAAACCTTAGTAAGTAAAGGTCTATAAGAAGGTATAGAAGAAGCTATATAATAGAAGCGCTAAGTACGCTATCGAGACAGGTATATAGACTATATAGACTATAGATTAAGACCTTCTAATAACTAATTAGCTACTAACTAAGTCTCGCCTATCTCGTATATACTATCGACTAAGGCGCTATAAGCTTAGTAAAGAGACACTTTAGGCACTTATCGAGCCGCTAAGTCTACTTAAGAAGTAGTTTAATATTAGTCTACTTACTACAAAGGTAAACCTCCTTATAGAGGTAGTAAGGGACTTAAGGGTAGACGTAAACCTTCTACTAAAGAAGGAGGTTATAGAGTCGTAGGTAGCTACTTAGTCCGCTAAAGAAGAAGGCTCTCGAAGTAAGGTAATAGTCGTTAAGAGGGCGGAGTTTAAGGCACTATAGCGCTAGGTTACTTACCTCCGTAAGACAATTGCTGCAATCGTAAAGCAGTAGTATACCTTAAGTATAGTCTCTAAGTCTAATATAGAAGTAATAGCGACTATTATTAATCGCTAGCGGCGCTCGAAGGGTTATTAGGTTATAGTCTTAAGCTCTCGAAGAAGGACTATAGATTAGCCTTGTTATACTATATTACGTCGTATAGGTTATAAAGCGCTATAGGGCTACAATATAAGTACGCTATTATAGTCTAGTACTCTTGTATGCGTCCGAGAGGCTAGTATTTAAGACCCTAAGCGGTCCTTACGTACTTATAGAGATAGTAACGTTATGTTAGTAGAATAGACTATCGCTAGTAGATAGCGTTACTACCGCGAGCGAGTCGATATATATCTTCGGCTATAGGTAGACTATCTCCTTTCCTAATCTAATAGCGCCGAGATCTTCTACTTCTACTATTATAGGTATAACCTAAGACAAAGCGACTACTAGTACGAGGAGGTAGTAGAGTTAGCGTACGAAGAGCCCTCGTAGCGGCCTCCGCTACCTCTGCCTAGTTAAGCTCTTATTAACTAAGTTAAACTATTTGCTATACTAGTGCTATACAGAAGTCGCGTTAGTAAGTAAACTATTAGTCCTTAGTCTACTTCTTATTACCTCGAAGAAGGATAAAGGAGTTAATAACCGCTACGTCTAGTAGGAAGTAGAATAATAGGTACTATCCCTTCCTCGATTTATATTAGGTTAAGCAATAATAGCGTAGCTAGTTATAAATGTTAATACTACCTATATAGTTATTATATAAAGTAGCAACCTCCGGAAGGTCCTTCTCTTCCTTACCGTCTATCTTCTAGTAGACTCGTACGTACTTATCGATATAGGCGTTGTTACTAGCTCGAGGGCATACCCGAAGCCGTCGTATTCGCTCGAAAGGCCGGCATCCCGTCGTAAGGAACTATACGAGGTTTCTATCCTACTAGATTACTACTACTACGTTATAAATTGCCTTATAAAGTAGTATATCGTAGGGAAACCGTATTATCTTGCGATTAAGGCCTAGGTAGGTTGAATTCTTCCTTATACTATCCTTTTTTAATATACCTAGCTTCTCGAAGGTTTTGCCTCGCTACGGCTACGAAAGTAACCTAGAACGTATAGTTCTAGTCGCCGCAATGCCGAGGTGTCGTAGGATTGCAAATAATAGTATATTATTAAATAGGTTGTCTATATAGATATAGTAGAAGTATTATAGGAAGGGAAGTTATAAAATTAGTCGAAGGACCGCTTACCTAAGCGAGCTTAGCTTTACGCTAAGCGAGACGGTAGGCGATACGATTAGGCTTTCGGTTGCTTCGGATAAGCGGTCCGCGCGGACCGCTCTTATATAACACTCCTTCCTTACATCCCTTATTAAATATAGACCTATATTCTAACTATATCTAATACTACTAGGACTACGGCTCTTACGCTTATAGCGCTTCTTATTACTCTCCTTCTACCGCTCCTTCTTCTCGGCGTCTATAAGAACCTCTAGAGTTACTACCGGGTACTAAGAGACTATAGAAGCTACTAAGTCTAGATTATCTTCCTCCTATTTAAATGCCTTCCGTAGGCTCGAGAATAAGAAGGAATATAGGTACCCGCCCTCGTATAGGTATAGGATATAATATCTAATAGGTATTAGCTTGCCTCGTATTATAATAACATGCCTAGATTTACTAGTAAACCGGACTATGCTCTTATTAATAGATACGTTAGTACTAGGTACGACAACCTCGCGGAATTTGCTATGTAGAATGTTAGTAAGAGGCAGTATCTACGTCTAGGTAGGTAGGCCTCTTCCGCTTAACGAGAGCGCGTTACTCTAGTACTATAAAGTAGCCTTAATCTATTTAAATCGCTACTCGCTTATATATTTAGCGATACTATATCTCGGCTAGTATCTATCTTCGCGCTAGTAGTCGCTCTTATCGTCTATTTAGATTATAGATATATATATAATTAAGCCTACGAAGATCCGCATTATTAGCTTATCTACTAGCTTCTATAAACGACTAGAGATATATATCTTATTGTCCTTCTTAAAACCTAGCTTGTCTCTTATATACTTATTAGTATAGTCGACTAATCGGTCTATAACCTCTTTAGTCTAGAATAGCGAGAAGAAGCTATATTAGACGTTATTAATAGCCTCGAGATCGCCTTATAAGTAGGCTAGCAAGTTAACCTGTCGCTAGTAAGAGATGCTACGTAACGGCTTATAACGACCCTTATTTATATCTCCGTCGGCTAGATAATACAATCTACCTACTCTACTATCTACCCCTATATCTTCGACCTCGTTATCTCCTTCTATAACTACTAAATCCTCGTCGTCTACGCCGCTTAGTATTAGCTCTCTAGCTTTCTCGAAGATAGGCTCTCTTCCTTTAGTTAGCTAATTAGTATTTATCTTATCGTTGTCTATTAAACTAGCGCCTATATCTAGCTACTAGTTATTAGCGTCGTCGTTATATCTATCTTCTACGAAGGCCTAGAAGGTCGCTATTGCTATAATTATATGCTTCTTAGCGACTTAGAGTTTAGAAATATAAAGGCAATTAAGTTAGTATAGTTAACCGATAGCGGCGACAAGAGCTAAGCGCTTAAAGAGGCTTAACGTATATATAACTAAGTCTAATTAAGGCCTGTTTATTTACCTGCAGAGCGGCTTCTATATGCTAACTATATGGACACTGTAGGGGTTGATCCCTGTTTAACCGATGAACGCCGACAGCCAACGAGTTATTACAGGGGATGCTGGTATGGTTTGGAAGAGCGAGGGAGTTACTGTGGCAACTGGGAACTGCCGTCCGAGCTCCGCTGAAAATCTCCTTCGCCTCGCCTCCCTCCACGAGTGCCATCACTTCCATCCCAGATGGGTCCACAACAATCGGACGCCTCTGCTTGGTCAGATTCGCGCATGTGAGAGCGACGTGGCAATCCGAACTTCGTATGTCGGAGCCAAAGAAGCGAATCAATATGCAGCTGTCCTCCCTGTCTTCGCGGAATAGGGCCGTTGGAGAATTCCGGTAAACTTTGACATTGTCCAATTGCAAGTCCAATGTGCCTTGTAAAGCGAGCACGTGGGAATGGGCTATTCGGCCTGCTCAAAACTCTACCCTCGGAATTGGCCATATTATATTGCATATGCCGGTTGATTAGGGTAGCAGGTTGGTTTAGCCTTTCTTCAAGCTCAAGCATATAGCTTTGAAATGGCTCGACGTTCTCCATCGTGCGCTATTAATAACGAGCGTCAGATGCTGCACTTCTACCAGGCTCGAATACTGGTGTTCTCAAATCTGAGTGCCCACGACCGATCTTAGGATTTCGCGATCAAGCCTTTGCCAACTAATTGAGTCTCGAGAGCCGGACATGTCAGCTTCGTGTACCGCAGAATGAGCCAGTATGGACTTATCAACTGTTTCCATCAACTACCTCGCGCGAACGCTCCTTCACAAACTGGCTGGAGGAGAGGTTTTGGATGATGAGACGAGGCAGCTCATACAGGAGGTCATCGCGGACGATATCGAAGCATTATCGACTCAGTCCGAATCTAACGAAGAGCTTGCAGAAAAGCAGCGACGCATCGCAATGGGTATTCTGACGGCATATCGATGCTTCAATGTTGAAGATGCCATGCAGATGGACAAGATCTTCGAGCATCGAACTTCAGACTGCGTCCAAGTAACACTTCCGAGAAGCGCTGGAATGCCCGATAGGAACAACAAGCAGTACCGAAAGTATTTGCAAGACCTGGTCTTGAATGATCTGGCACCATTCCGAGGCGAAGTAAGCACAGACTCAAAAGCGGATGTTGAATTCCCAGAACGAGAGATGATACTGACCTGATACGTTATCCTAGATCGACATCGTGCAGCCTATTGTCAATGATATCAATGCTCGGGTAGTCGTCGCGAAGGTACATGGGCAAGTACACGCAGAAGGACGTCTACCTACCCATGACCACTCAGTCTGGTTTCTATATTTCACAGAGGATCGACACCAAGTGTGGAAAATAGAGGTGTGGGTTGACTCCCAACAGGCTCACGTATTGCGAGAGAAATTGGCTGAATGGCGCGAGAAGAACACTGGCTCAAAATCTGGTTCAGGTATGCACATGGGAGCACAGAGTGAGAGGTCGAAGTGAAAGGTCACTGCAATGCGAGCTGGACCGGGCACCTAGGACTCAATGAGCTTGGTATCGAGACTATTTATCAGTGGCCATGACGATCCAAAAACAATATCAATAAGATCGAGCTCAAAGGCGACGCTAGGTCAAAGTTTCTGTCGATGTCCTATAAATTACATACATCTATCCCTTCCATACCCTCACATCTTACTCCTACAGATTCTCCTACTTTGCCGAAAGAGATCGATCAAGAGGTCCACGGCCTCTCTACAACAGCATGGCAGCCCGTGTTCCCGCCACAGCGCCAACCACATACAACATCGTCTTAACATAACTCATTCTAGTCCACTTCTTCAACAATTGTCTCGCCTCCAAAGTTTGTTCTACCTTCAACTGCAGTTCACGATCCTCACTGATCTGCAACAACCTCTTGACACTGCCCCACATCACCAACCCCGAATAAGGTATCGCAGCGAGCGTCGAGAGCGCCGCGATCAAATGTAATCTCTTGATCTGTTCTGACTTGGAACTATGCCATAAGATGGCTGATGCAGCGGAGGATACGAGTATTGTAGGAAACACTGTGTAGAAGCCCGATTTCGTGGTGCGTTTGAAGATTGGGGTTGATTGTTGGGGAGGTAGGTCTGCGATGTTGGAGATGATGTTTTGGGAGGTTGCGAAGGAGTAGCCGGCGAGGAAGATTGAGGTTGCGGGTGCGAGCCAGAGGGCGTGGTGCGTGAATGAAGATGAGGCCATGGTGAAAGGCGTGAATGTCATGCGGTTGTCGTAGAGGCTCAGGAGAGCTGAGCTGTATAGGAGCCGATGTGAGAGGTGGAAGCTACGGCACGTCATAGAGTGAGTTGGGACAGAAGTATAGAAACAGTCCCGCTCCACTTTGCACCACACTCTTAGACACAAACCAAGATTGAGAGCACTTGTCTGCAATTAAAGGGCGAACTTTCGGCATCCATGTCGCTCCTGAGCAATGTCATCATCTCTGCTTCCTCTCCGACAACTCCTTGGGAATAGCTCCTGCCTGCGTGGATGGAACCGGGGTCTTCGAAAGCTGCCAGTAATAGTGCTACCCAGCAGAGAGCAGAAAAATGCTTCTAGCATCGCTCAATCAGCATTGAAAAGAAAAGTCAATTTCTGGTCCGCAGCAGAGGTTGAAAAACTTCGTCAGCTCTCTGCCGAAGGAAAAAGCGTGAAAGACATAGCGTTGTCTCTAGGGCGCAGTGCCATAGCCGTAGTGACGAAGCGATATACTGACAAATCCGATGGGGACAAGATATCGGCTGGTTCTCTTGCCTCCCGGCCATACTGGACGGAGAGCGAGGTGTCGAAGCTTGTTGAAGCTAGGAAGCAGGGTCTTTCTTTCAAACAGATCGCCGAGATGCTTGGAAAGTCTTACGGTAGCACTGAACGTAAAATGTACAGTCCTGGTCTTCGGGTCAGTCGACCAGGTCGCCCAAGCTCTCCACAACCCAAGCGCGCCGTCACAAAGCGAAAACTTTGGACGTCGGAAGAAGTAGAACAGCTCGACCAACTCGTCCGGCAGAAAGCAAGCGTACGCGAAATCGCGACAGCGATGCGCAGGAGTCTGGGCAGTGTACGATGCCGCATGCATAAGGGCGGTTCTACTGTGAAGTCTTTTACGAAAGAGGAAGACGCGAAGCTGACATGGTTTCTGGAGAACGGGTCCAAGTGGCATGCCGTTCAGGCTTCGTTTCCCTCTCGGTCCCTCGGGTCACTGAGGTATCGTGCTGCTACACTTGGTCTCGCCAAGGGTAGGCTGGGGACAATTGCTTGGTCCGACGAAATGCTTGCGACTTTAACGCGACTACGGGCGGAAGGAAAGAGTTTTCGTGAGATTTCACAGCACCTGCCTGGACGAACAGCAGGAGCTTGTAGGGCCAAGCTACTTGAACTCCATACGCCGTTCCCAAGACGCAAGGCTGTCTGAGCAGCTTCCCTGTCCTGCACCGGGTGTATATGGGCGGAAGCGCTGATTGTCAGCGATTTTCATTGCGAATCTTAAAGCTTGATGCCCTATTCAGAACTACAAGAAGTCGCTCAGACAAATTAATGCAATGTATCAGCACTTCCAGGTCGAGAGTACTGTCAGAGGAGATGAACGTGGGTGCTTTTCCTGCTTTGCATTGGGCTATGGCTCTTGACTTGGTCTCCGTGTCCATCTATGTCGTTCCGACCATTCATTTCGCGAGTTTCAGGGCTACAGTGACCATCTCGTGGGAAATGGCGTATTTGCGAAAGAAGCGATGAGGTGATGCATGTCCGTAGTTCTATCACCAGGTCTACGGCAAGCGATCGCGTCGTTCAAGACATAAGCTTGTTCTATTTATACCGCGTGGATTTCGCGTCACGTTCTAAAATTTACCCGGAATTCACTTCCACAACTATCACAGGACTGCTGACTCCCAGAGGCTTAGGCCATGTCCTTGTTACGGCTGATCAATCGAATCAGAGTGAACCCGTTCGTGTGCTCCTACACGGGGAAGCCATACCCTTGTGTACTCGCACGCCAACGCCCGAGCCGCTCCCTCAGCCTATGCTCTGTTTTATGGCGACGCACTCATCGAGCATGGGTTCAAGAAGACATTGACCGAGCTCGTCAGCTTCGGCACGAGGGAAAGACTCTCACAGCAATCGGTCTGATATTGGGACGCCCCGAAACATCTGTGCGATCGCGTCTATATGCAATCCGGGACGGTGCTCAAGATTCCGCCGCGCTGGGGAAGTTAACTTGGAGCGCTGCAGACATCGAAACAGTCAAAGGATTGAAAATTCAGGGGATGCCCCAGCGTCAAATTGCTCAATTGATGGGCAAGACGTATCCTGCTGTGGGACGCATAATACGAAGGTATGGTCTCCATGCCCCCAGGAAATTCAATGGATGTACACGAGGACCTAAGAAGCCATGGAAACTCGAAGAGCATCAATTACTGCTTGACCTACAAGCTCAGGGCAAAAATCTCGTTGAGATAGCCCAGCGATTGGACAGGAGTGTCGGGAGCATTAAGACTCACATAGTAAGAGGCGATGTCCCGACAACGACTTTCTACAGCGACGAGGAAAAAGTCATTTTGCAGTCTTATTTGGAGCGAGGAGAGTCTTTTGCGGCCATTCAGTCTATGTTGCCTAACCGCTCGATAAAGACATTGCGTTCACAAGCGATCAACCTGGGCTATTACAACCCTCCAAGCAAGCATCCAAGTCATTACACGAAGGAGGAAGATGCCATCCTGGACTCGCACCTCAAGCGTGGAGCCAGCATGAAAACAATTCGACTCGCACTGCCTACACGTTCAGTTCGTGGATTGCGCAAACGGTTCGAGGAATTAGGCTACACAAACCCATTCAATCGGCGATCTTGGACCGAGCACGACATAGCTACTTTGAGAACACTCCGTGCTAGAGGGCTGAGCTTTGCGGAGGTAGCGAAAGAGTTCCCAGGGTGTACGCCGCGTGCTTGCCAGGCTGCGGCCGGGAGACACTTGTCGCAGCATAAAAGCCACGATGAAAAACGTTGACATCAGTACACCAAAGCCGAATCCTGATGGAGAGCAAATGTGTGCAGGAGTCTGCGCTCGAAGCTTGTGACGCAATCACCGATGCTCACGATCGGACTTCCAAGCTGAGAAGTCCTATATATGAGTTCTCGAAGCCAGACCCAAGGTGGTCGGTGGTCGCTGCTTGGAATGAGAACTCCCGACCCACACCGTGCTTGCCACCTAGCATCTGTATTTGCTGATGCATGGCATTCTCCGTTCCCTCTGTCCTTACCTAGGTGCATTCGAAAGACGACACGAGGCTAGAGGATAGTAGTGAGTGATGTCTTATCCAAAGCATTGCACAGTTCTTGGTTAATGCTATGGGTGAAGGATGGGAAAGGTAGAAAGTTGCCGAAATTCAGGAGGGCGTGGTTTAGGGAGTTCATGGATGGACAAGAGTTGAGGAAGAGGGTGTGACGAAATCGAATGAGGAAGCTCGGTGTGAGCTGAAAAGCGAAGAGAGGAAGGGGAGGGCTCGCTTGTAGATACCAGTGGCTTAGATGTCATGGCTGCAATACAGTTTGGTGTTGTGCCTCGTTGATAGTCCCATGTTTTCAATGCGTCTGTGAGACCAGTTCATTTCCAAGTTCCCAGTCTGGAACTTGCAATCGAGAGCCTGCCAGGTGAGTGAATTCACTCGACTGAGCACCATCAAAATTTCATTAGAACTACTCGGGGCCAAAACTCTTGGCACAGCATGCACATGACATGCACCTGGCAGGATCCACACCTCCTTCTCATTCTTCTCACAAACGCTTCCATTTTCCAAGTCAACACAGACACAGAGTAACGCAGACGCGTGTCAGCGTCAGCGTCAGCGTCAGCGTCAGCATGGTGCTGGGGCGCTGCCATAGGGTCAGGCCACTCTCATGCAACGGGAATGCCGCTATGCGACTTTTAGCAATGGCAGCATCGCGATGGCAATTGTCAAGTACAGCCAAAAAGACATTCGTTCGGAACTCCTCGACTGGCACCACTAGCAGCGCCGGCAGACAGTGGAGAAGCTGGACTGCCTCCGACATCGAGACATATCATCGTTTGCACAATCAGGGAAAGTCTCAAGCCGCGATTGCATCTGCTCTAGGACGCACGCTTCGTTCTTTGATAGTAAAGACACGCCGCGGCATGAGAGTATCGTCCAAGGGAGGGATTCCTTGGACTTCTGAGGAAGATCAGAAGCTGAGGCAACTTCGTGCCGAAGGTCACAGCCCACAGCACATTGCTAAAATACTCGGGCAGCCTCCCAGCCGTCTTCATTCACGACTACAGCTCATTGAGAGCCGTAAGAGGACAAAGGCCCCGTGCCGTCTGAGAGTTCATCGCAAGCTGGCTGCGCTCAAAAAGGGGGCAGATCAAGAGAAGTCGAATTTGAAGAGGTATTATTCCCGCGACGAAGATGAAACGCTGTCTTCTCTCCTCCGCAGTGGCAAGTCATGGAAAGAGATCTGTGCTGCCATGCCCCACCGCAGTAGACTATCATTGGAGTCTCGAGCCAAATACTTGGGTATTTTTCGGCCAAACCACAGAATCTGCAAGCTATGGACGGCAGAGGAAACGCTCAAATTAATGACTATGAGGAACGCTTCGAATCCCTGGGAGTTGGTCGCAATTGAGCTCGGTCGGACCATAAATGCCTGTCGCACTCGATTAAGTAACCTGAAATCGGGCCTCGTTTCGTTCCAAAGCGAGCAAAGCCGCCACCAATGACACACTCGATCAAGTTGGAATGATCTTGTGATGTCCCGTACGGAAATTCCAGGGAAGCGTTGCAGACCAGGCCCTCTCGCCTCAGAGTGCATTATGTCCACACGTTCACAATCCAGGCATCATGTATGCGAAACAAGGGCCTGCTCTCTGCTCACACCGGCGAGAGAAATGTGGCTGCGACTCAGACCGGCATTATAGCTCCTGCTAGACGGCTTGACGAACATGATTGGGAGCACGCCGCTCGTCGGACCGTCATGGCGATGTCGTGGTTCCAGATCAAGACATCTCAACACGCTGGCTCCACGCGAAATTTTAAACCTGCGGAATACCTTGATGGAGCCGAATCTATATCAACCTCGCCACAAGCCGAAGGATTTCGTTTGCCCAGCGTAAGCTTTTGTTCTGACTGTACGTGCAGGATCTGCTTTGCATGACGCTAAGCTGTCAATGGCCGGCTGCGCCCTGGTTGGCGAGGCTGAAAAAAGACGTTAGCATAGGCGTCCAACTGGTCGCGTCTGCTTATAAGCATATAACAAAGATCACTGCAACGGCGAATGAACTGCGGCGCAGTTGATCTTATTTCCATTTGCATCGTCAGGCTGCCCTATCAGCCACGAGGCTTCGCAATGCAGATCCACAACATGGTGCACAACATGTGCGGTCAGGAAGCTGTATATTTCTGACAGCAGCGCAACTTTGTGAAGCATTTCCTTCAAGCACCGGCAATCTCATCGACTCAAAGTAAAGTCCTTCCGCACAAAATAATCATTACAGAAGCATCGCAAAGCCACCACATAATGCACACTGTCGCTAGCCTCACGCTTGCCCTCGCTGGTACCGCCCTTGCTCAAACCCCTCATTTTGGCAACCCAAACAACGGAGATTGGTCGTCTTGGATGACAGATGCAAGCTGGACGACAGACGCGACCTCCACCTGGACACCAGATTCTACCTTGTCCACAGACTCAACATGGACACGAACAAAGCCAACAAGCTGGATCTCTTCCACCACACTTAACACCCCAAGCTCCACCACCTGGACCGCGAGCACAACGGACTCTTCATCCAGCACCTACGATCTGACATGGTCATCGAGCGCATCAACCTGGTCCACAAATTCTACAACTACTGCCCCCAACTCAAAAATTTCCACTACTACAGTTTTTCCCACTGGTACTGCAGTCAGCAGCGGTTTCCTTCCTAACTCGACTGAAGGATCTAATTTCACACTTTCTACGACTTTGACTCCGACTATGACTCCTACCGCTTCACCATCCAGCACGAATGGCGCGGGAAGTGTTGCGGGCAGTATGGCGCTCGTCGGTGCCGTGATTGCAGGAGCTTTCGCATTCCTTGCTTGAGCGCGAATATTAGCTTAAGTGATGCATTTATTTGCGGGTATTGAAGAATAGCGAGGTGTTGGGGAGAAGCGCGTAATGATATACATATCGCTCTGCGGTTTCAGTCTTGCGATGCGCATAATGGATATGGCACTCTGCGATGTCCACATGATAGAGTAGATCAAATACCCCAATGTCAATTTCAGACTTTTAGGCGACATACTGTGCCTCGCCTTCCTCCGATTCCTGCTCTTTGGCCTAAGCTGCTCACCGAGTTTCTGATGCCGGTGCTATTACAGCGAAAGTCATTTGATCCAGCTGTCTATATGCTTGCGTGGCCCTTATCTCAGCCAGCATCAGCCCTACGCCCCTGCGATGCAAGGTGACGCCAGACATGAGGTACGCAGGTAATTGCGTGCGTGGTCGATGATGTCTGTCAAGTCTTCATATGCCCCTGCATGCTCAATGTGGTCCAGCTCGGATACCTGCAAGCTGGTCTAGCAGGTCGGTGAGAATGGCGCGCACACATCACGTTTCTTCACTGTCGTTGGTCTCTTGCATTGTAGCTGATGATACGCGCGTCGTAATACATTGCAGGTCATATTGTCTTTGCTCACTCTTTCTTCTTATTGATCCTCGGCAACGCAAGCCAAAGCAGCCAGCATACAGCCATAAGCGCCAGCACTATCGGCTGTAGAACCTGTACACCCTTCGCCTGCGCAATGGCACCTACAGCGTAGGGAAAGATAGCTCCGCCGCTGCCTCCGAAAGCTGCTGCAAAGCCAATGCTTGACACATGGAGGTGCTTCGGGAGTAGCTTTGTGCATGCTACGACAGCAGCTGGAAACATGGGCTGTCAAAGATGTCAGATTATCGCATGGAGAATGCATTGGGTAGCGGTGCTTACACCTAAGAAGAAGCCCTGAAGTGCCACCGCGACAGCCGAGACGTAAAATTGGGGGACAAGCCAGAATAGTAGCTCCAGGCCAACGGCAATGGGGAGGTAGATCATGATGGACAGCGTCTCGCCAATCTTTGGAGTAACGAAGCCGAGGACTATGCGACCTACAGTCATGCCGAGCCAAAATCCAGTGGCGGACATACCGCTTGGGAATTTGGCCGCGTGTCGCACTCGAATCATGAACTCCACGATCCAGCCACCAAGTGCCACTTCAACACCCATGTAGCAGAGCAGGAAAGAAGCGCAGAGCCACGTTGTCCTGGCTGCCGGCATCTTGAAGATAGCTTCTCTCAATCTCGATCCTTCTTGACCTGACAGTCTTGCATGCGCCTCTCGATACTTGGCTCCAGTCTCGTGCCAGAAAGCATGCAGCGAGGACGCGAATTCGATACAAGCGAAGCCGATCATGCAGTAATACCAGTAATACCAGGGCAAGTCAGCCTTGGTGATCATTGTCGTGGCGATCAGAGGGGCGATAGTAGCACCAGCCCCATAGGAGGCATGAAGGAAGCCAAGGATCTCGTTGGCATTGGCCATGGCTCCCATCCAAGCATTCCACCCAGCGTCCTCCAATCCGTTCGCGAATCCTGCCAGAATGAAGGCGATCACCAAGACGGGATAGGGTGGGTGGACAGCAATCACAATGTAAGCTGTCAGGTGGCCGAGAGGCCCGAGGAAGGCTATGCCACGCTGTCCGAATCTTAGATGGATCATGTTGTTCAGCAAAGCAGAACCGACGTAGCCGACAAATGGCGATAGGAATACCAGCGAGATGACGGCGTATGGGAGGTCGTAGTAGGTCTGGAGGTAGGGGATTATAGCTCCGTAGGTCGCGTCGTTGAGGCCCATGATGATGAAAGCCCAGAAGCTTGCTGCAGACTTGTAGAGGTTGCGCCGCGGCTGATTCCATCGCTCGACCGGCTCTGTGGCGACTGTCGGCGACGGGAGCGTGTCATTGGGGCTTTGACCTTCATCTGGCTTGTAGGAGCCAAGGCTTCGTCCGGATAGAGACGGCCGCTTGCGTTTCGATGATTTCTGGGTTTGGCTTATGGTTTCTAGCTCGATGGGTTCGAGCACGAGAGTAGAAGAGCCGGCATGTCTGCTGGTCTCGGTCATGTTGCAATGCTACCGCCTGCCGAAGGGATGCATATGCCTCGTGAGAAGGGAAGCTGCAGACACTGAATATCCGTACGAGATCGGAAAAAGAGGCCCGCCGGCGCGGTTAAAGGGCGTGAGTGAGTCTGACAGAAGGCGAGGTCGGGTCGGAAAAGAAGGAAATGGTGGCGGAGCGGAGACGTGAAGGTGCAGATGGAAGATTGCGGGCTGTTCCGCTGCTTTCTTTGTCACCCGAACACGAACACATCAACATTGATATCATGATGCCGGGAGCAACTCATGCCACTGCACTTGCCAAGCCAGCATGAACTCCATCGACGCGACTGACCGCGCTGGTCCGAATGGCGATGGCGACGGTGATGGCGAGGCGCCTGCCTTACTGACCGTCATCCTCGACACAAACCCTCATGCCTGGGCCTTGCTGGAGCATTCGCTATCCCTGTCCCAGCTGGTCGTCAATCTGCTGGTCTTCGTCAACGCCCACATCGCCATCAACCCCGCCAACCGAGTCGCTGTCGTGGCAAGTCACTCGGAATGTGCCGAATGGCTTTACCCGACGCCAGCGCGCGCGCAGAGTCACGCGGCAAATGGCAATGGCAATGGCACACATGTCGAAATGGCAGACGGCGATCCAGCCCCTCGAGGCGGACCAGTGCAGGCTCCAGACGATGCGAACAAGTATCGTCCCTTTGCTCATATCGAGCATGCAATCACCACGAACCTACGGAGGCTGATGAGCAGTACGTCTGCTGAAGCACTTCAGTCAACGCCAGCAACAATGATGGCAGGCGCGCTCACAAGGGCTCTCGCGTACATCTCGAAGCAGTCCCAGACATTGCCAAGTGGCGCTGCCAGCAGCCAGCAGTTCAACTACTCAGATCCGAACTCAGTCGCAGGAGGCAACGAGGCATCGAGTGGCACGAGTCAAGGCAACAACATGCTGGGCCTGACATCACGAATTCTGATTCTTTCCGTCTCGGGAGATCTGGCAGACCAATACATCCCCATCATGAATTCCATCTTCGCCTGCCAAAGGTTGAGCATTCCCATCGACATACTCAAACTGGCCGGAGACACGGTGTTCCTGCAGCAAGCAGCAGATGCGACCGGAGGAATCTACATGGCGCTTGACCATCGGACGCGAGCTGGATTTCTGCAGTACCTCATGTTCGCATATTTACCAGACGAGGCAGCGAGGAAGCATTTGATCGTGCCAGGAGAGGGGGAGGGTGTGGACTTTCGTGCGGCATGTTTCTGTCACCGGCGCGTCGTGGATATTGGCTTCGTCTGCTCCATCTGCCTCAGCATCTTCTGTGAGCCTTTGCACGACAGTACTTGCTTGACGTGCGGGAGTCATTTGCAGATGGCGAACTATGGTCAGAAACCGGCGGTGGTGCCGAGAAAGAAGAAAAAGAAGAAGAGGGCCTTGGATGGCGCTGAAACACCGGGTAGTAGAGCTGGAACTCCATTACCCTCGTAAAATGCGGGATTGATGAGGATACATTTCTGGAGACGTGGACAATTCTAGTCATAACGTCAAAGAAATTCGATCCTGTCAGTTTCGTATAGCGGCTTTGAGACGTAGGGTCACGGTGCTCTTAGGATTGGCTCTTATATAACACGGTTTACACCCTATGAACATGCACGAGACACAGCTTAATTACCTTCGGACCTACACCAGACCTCGAGGCATTACGAAGGATATCCACCCGGCAGCATAGTTATCCGCTGTATCCGGCTATATTAACCACCGGTCGTACGCGCGAAAATTGGGGAAGGTTGCAACCCTGGAAGAGCTGGAGGACCTCTTCGAAGCACTTACTAGTTTCCACGAGACCACACATATCTGCGTCGACGCTCTTGACGAATGCTCAGAAGATGATCATGTTAGGGATTTTTTTCCTGAGTCGAATCCAACGACTGGTAGCTGAATTGCCCCAGTTGAAACCAGACCATTGACAGTAGAAGAACTCGTCGAGGCTAGTGTCGTCAATTGTGCTAGAGCTGGCCATGTCGACCAAGGCAACAAAGGTACCAGCGAGAACCTGATCGACTTGCTTGCAGAGCTCGTGGTAGTCGAGGAACGCTTCTCCCAGTCATACATCAGGTTGGCCCATTTTTCTGTTCAGTGCAATGAAGCGCTTCCAAGTCTCTTATGCAGCACACTCAACACGGACAAATTATCACGCGTCACCCTCAAGGATGACGCAACGCCACCGAATCTGGAATCCCATTCACCTACGCATGCAAGTGCTAACAGATCTGGACGAAATCCACTTCAAGCGAATCAGGAAAAATCTATTATGGTTCCTCCAGATTGATTACATGCACTTAGGAGTGCGTATCTCAATCGGTGGGCAAAGCCTCAATGCATGATCGGAGCAGCATACAATGTGCTCGTTTGAAAGAAAGGCAGTCCATCCACCGATGCTTGTCACAAATTCAATTCCAGATACACAAACTTCACAAGCTCATCCAAAGTAGGATTCTGCCTCCCACAAGCTTTCCTCTCCTGGTGCATCCCCTTCGCCACAACAACTTTAACACAATGGCCATCTCTCTACAATTTCATCCTCCGCCACGAACTCGCTCTTCGACTCACTACCCTCGGACCATTTAGGCGAGGCCTCAACAAGACCACTTCTACTTCTACGTCCGCCTTATCGAATCCTCTATCTCTGACCTTCCCACACAAATCACTAACTTCAATCTGCGTACCATCGCCTAGACGCTGCCCGGAGAAGCGATTGACGAGGAGGCCATTACATCCCGGGATGATCCCATTTGAAATTCGGAGTTGGATAGCAGAGCTCGGGGCGCAAACGCACGGACCAGCCAGTGATGGTGTTGCGGAAAGCTTTGCAGACGCGTTGGTTGATAAGGAGGCGTTTCTTGGACTGGATTGTGGCGTCGATGGTGCGAAGGGAGGATGTTTTCAAGGATTTCTGGGGTGTGTGCGACGCGCGAGCCGGCGGTAAAGGAAGATGTCAGATCTGTCATGTCACATGCTGGTTAGTGGAGTGTACGTGGGAGGAGGATTTGCTGCGACGCACGAGAGGCTGTTCCTAGGGTGTGGATGCTTGTGATTACGCTGTCGATGCTGTTGTTACCGGATGACTTCCTGGTTGATCATCTGGTGATCCGGATGGTCTGCTTGTTTACGCTGCACTAGCCACGACGCGCGCCTGCCTGTTGCAGCTGAGCCCAGATCATAACTCCCATCACCACAAGAGATCCGCGAGACGTACTTCCAAATCAGCCATACTATTTCCTGGCACTTCTCATCATTCAGCTTCGAGAGTCTCTCTTCCACCACAGGGCTCGGCTTCAAGCTCGTGAAGGCCTAAAAATGCCATTGTCTAAACGACAATGTGCTTGTTCTCTTCTGCAAGCATGAAAGAAACCTACACCCTCAATGCATTGATCGTCACTGGACTTCATTCCCGACAAACAAAGCTTGGATATACGCCTCTTGCCAGTACCTACATACAACCGCTCTCTGCCGCACTGCCTTTGCTCTTCCTAAGACACACACATCCAGCATCGTCGAGAATCAAACATCAGACACAAACCATCACCAAGAAACTCACGACAATGCCAGACCTCACCAACCACATCCAGGCTTTGCCGCAGGAGCTACAAGACATGATCTGCGACCGAGTCGTCGCCATCAAACCAGGCCAGAAAATCCGAATCGACAAATCCTACAATGCTCCCTGGCAGCTGCAAGTCCACCCGTCAGATCGCGAAAAGCTTGCACCCATCTACTTCGGAGAATCCACCTTCGTCACGACATTTCACTGGTGGCCCCCCCACAAAACCAATCGGGACATCGTGAACTGGGCCCAGCTCCAGACCAAGGCGCATCGGGAAATGATCAAGCATGTCGAAGTCGAGGTCAAGTTCGGTTGCGACAGCGATTTGCCTTCTGATGTCGAGTTCTTCGAGAAAGATGCACGAAACCGCCGGTTCTTCGGTGGTGTTGTCAGAGACATGCTGAAGAGGAGCAACGTCGAGTTCCCAAATGCCGAGTTCTCTGTAACGTATGGAGGATCTCATGATCTTTGGACGGATTGGGCGGTTTGGGGGTATCCTAGTCAAAGTGTTGGGGAGGGTAGGAGAAGGTAAGTACTTCCATGCAACGATCAACAGGATATAAAACCTCGCAGGGCGCGGGGGGGGGGGGGGTATTCGTCGTCAGAAGGGAGTCCTTCACTCCTAGCCTTTCCAGATTTTGATAGATGCATCAATGTTTGAACTCAGTGTCGTTCGTTTATTTTGTCATAGCTCAATATGTGTATGTACTCACTGCATAAGCGTTTCTTGTTTCCTCACTTCGTTCCTTCCAAAATTCCCACTTTTCCATTACAGCCTCTAAGTTGAAGAGTGACAACCACATCAAGCTCTTCCACCCTTCCACCAACATGTCGCTCGACCAGCGCATCCAGGCATTGGCACAGGAGCTCCAGGACATCATCTTCGGCTACACCGTCGCTTTCGAGCCAGGAATCGTTACCATCAACAGGAAATGGAAAGCTCCATGGCAGCTTCAAATCAATCGCAAATCTCGAGCCGAACTCTCCAAGGCTTACTATGGCCACAGCACGTTCCGCATCACCACGAAAGCCGGCTTTTTTCTTCCTCACATTGATGCAATGGGTCAAAATGATTCAGGAGAAGCAGCGCAAGATGATCTCGAATCTTCGTGTTGATCTCGCTCGCATGGAGAAACCAGATCCTCCATAGGGGGTTGGACTTGAGGAGTGAAGCGCGAAGACGTCTCATGATTGTGCAAGATATCGTCAACGATGAAAACACAATGCTCCCGAATTGTACGGTCAAACGCAAGGCTCTTGCGTCCGAAGCCAAGGGAGATTTGAAGGAAGTTTGGCGTGGTCTTTCAGACTGGCCAGCCCACACCGTGGGTCTTCGTAATAGCTGCGAGGTGTGGTCATTTGCTGACCGCTTTCACAGGGCCCGACCTGGATACCGCCCTCCGGCTACGTTGTACAGGATCTGGACACAGAAGGTCCGCGACGCGTGACACTTTCGCAGCTCTATCAGCAGATGTCCACGTGACGGCATAGCATCACCACGAGATCGGGGCCCTGGTCTTCTGCGGGTGAAGCGATGGAGGAGGTTGATGAATGACATTTGGAAAGCGATGGTCTAGCGGATCAAGGAGAAGATAGCCTTCTCACATGCCTCTGCGCAGCACGCGAGCGACACGGGGGGTCAATTGTCTTCGGTGCAAGCCGCCCAGAGAGGGCCGGAAATGCGACAGTACGTACCTACTTGAGAGATTCGCGCATAGAGGGCCGGAAAATCCGACTGAAAATTCTCCCTTCTCTTACATCGTCAAGTCAAGTTCATGGACTTTCGTGGCTTCATCTGATTCTGTAGCGCTCTTGCTTTCGCCGGACATTCATCAAGGAGCGTCAATTCCAGCTAAATCTTGTGCCTACAAGCGTTCCCCATGCCTGCATCCATTCATTTACCCAAAAGAACACCGTTCCTCTCACGATATCAAACCTGCCGTTTGGTACTCAGATGTGTACCTCGTTCTGCCACCTCAAATTCCTCACACCACTCTCCTGCAGAATGTCTCACTTCGCACGCCGACTCATCCACAAACTCCTAACTCTTTCGCCGGGGAGTGGCAATCGCACGCGCACGCCCTACTATAAGTTATCGCGGTAGATGTGATCCACTAGGGCATTCGATGGGCACACTGCTCACACCACCAATCGAAGTACCAGCTCGCAGGCCGAAAGTCCCCGAGTCAAGTCAGGTCTCGCGGTTCGAAAGTGTTCCGTTCGTTGAGGAAAATGCATCTCTACGCGCACGCAAACGAGGATTTCCTTCCGCGTAGGAGGTACGTTCTCTCGAGAGACGGAAGAGACGTGATGATGCCACTACGCGGTGCGGTACAGAGACGTGACGTCCCCGTGCCCATTGAGGCAGTGCGCAACCCGGCAAGGAGTATGCCGGTAGTTGAACAAGCTTATCGTGTCACCAAGCAACTTCCTTCAGTAGAAGTTGTTGTGGTGGTGACGCAGTGGGCGAGTGAGATCCGTCTTGTTCCTGATGATGACGATGAAGACTCTCACTCCCAGGTTTGAGTTTGAGTTTGACATGGCCAGATCGTATTCTAAGCTTTGCCCCAGCCACCCAGCCAGCTACCAGCCTTCTTCGCCTTTGTTAGATCTCTATAATATGACAACTTAACAAAAGTTGGGGCCCCTTTAGGCTTAGTGCGGCTCAAAACGGGCTAACGGCGGCCTCTAATTAGTAGACGCGAGGAACGTTAATACCTTAGCGATTCGGAAGGACGTAGACGTCGTAGTATATACCGCAACGAGCTATAACTTCGATAGTAGTCTCGAAAAGGGCGTCTTCGTCGTATATACCTTATCCGGCGGTATTTACTCGAAGCGGTATACTCGATCGCGCTAGTAGCCTTATAGGAAGCGTAATTTAGTATATACGACTAGTACCGAGGCCCTACTATCGCGAGCTCCGCTATTAGGGTCTTATAAATACGACGCTATCGACCCTCTTAGTCGCTATTATAGCTCTATCGACCTCTACGGCCTTCGAGAAGCTATACGAAATTGCGGTATCCTTTACTTACGAGTCCTAAGGAAGGCGCGCGTCGCGTATATAACTATAGTAGCTACGTATAACGCGCCTACGTCCGGAGATATAACGACTTTAGTAGGCGCGCGGTTATTAATTGCTACTATAATAACCTAATATCGCGATCGACTATTATAGACTCTACTAGAACCGACCTCGATCTAACTCCCTTAGCCGCTAGATACTTATTCGCGTCGTACCGGTATAGATCTAACGAGAGCCCGCTACTAACTACCTATCGTAGTCTCTTAAGGCCTACCGCAATACTCGCGAAGACGTACGCTTAAGATTATAGTCTTAAAGGGTCCGAGGTATAGAAAGATATAGTAAGTAGTATAGTAGCGGTCGTACTCTAATATAGCGGCTAACAATTCTAGTACGAGGAGGTTTACGGTACTCGGTAGGAATTACTATAAGAGTCGGTAGTTTTCTTTACGAAGATATAGTAAGACTTACTACTACTTAGCCCGCTATAAAGGATTCTCGATCTACGGCGGTTCGGCTTATTTCCTTCGTTTAGTATCGTCCCTTAGAAGCTAGACCTTAGGTAGATATTCGAATCGTAGCTAGTAGAAGGATCGACTATCGCGAAGCCTCTTAAGGTATTTTATATCGCTACTAGCCTTTTCTATAACAATGTCGCCGATAAGGTAGCTATAAAGGTCCTTAAGATCTAGTATTAATTCGATACGATATCTAGCTATAGTATTAGCGTCGCCTTACTCTTAGAGAGTGCTACTCGCGATTAGGAATAGACGGTATAGCTCCTAGCCCTATTTAGCGATAAGTACGCTAAGATAACCTACTTCTTAGACTATTTCTGGCTTCTCTATAATAGTACGGGCTTCGACTAAGTAGCGATACGGAGTTGTCTCTTAACTATATATAGCGCTCCCGTCCGGCGAAAGCCTTCCTTATTATTATTCGGTCTCGCCCCGCTAGAGGAGTGTCGTAGCGAGTCGAGCGTTATAATAAACTAAGGCGCGGGCAATCGTAGTATAGAGCGTAAAAGAGAATATAGTATTTAGGGAGGTTGCGGAAGGAAATCTACGATAATCTTAGTATATTTATTATGATTTTTAGCGTACTATCTGCTTAACAGATATCTTTTTATATCCCTCGATACGATATAAATTTATAGCTCTAGAAGATATATCTTACCGGATTATACCGCTAGAGGCAGACGACGCGCTCCTTCGCCTTAACTCGAGTCTTTAACGACTTCGTTCGTATTAATACCTCCCTAGCGACGATGCCGACGTTATAGTAGTAGGATCTAAGCTAGAGTAGTAAGCGTAAGGTCGAGTGTTCGTCGTCGCGTCGCGAGAGGCTATTATTATTATCGTAGGTCGCTTTATATCGTCGCTTTATATCGTCGCTTTATATCTATTAGCTAGTATAGGCTTAGCGCGCGGCGACGGTTACGTATACAAATAGTAATGTTGCGGCGTTACGCGTCGTCTAAATATTACTACTATAATAACTAATATAGCGACTACTTCTATATAGCTATATCTACCTCCTTCTAGTTATCGATATTACTAGTAGCGACCTCGATAAAGGCGCCCCTCCTATATAGTCTTAGCTGCTATAGCCCTCCCTAATAGTAAGTCTCTAGCGTATCGGTCGCTATACGCTATCTTCGCTAATATCGAGCTATAGAGATAGACGTTCTACGTAGTATACCGTAGCGAGCCTTTTAATATTAGGAATTAAATCGCGCTATAGCCGAGATTAAGTACCCCCGCGCTTCTATACGACTTCGCTAACTGCTTACTATAGGCCGGGCCCCGGTATATTAAGAAGCGCTATAAGATATATATAAGCTAGTTACTAAGGAGGTATTACGCTACGTACGCGAGAACCGCAATATAGATAAGAATAACGGCTTCTTTCCTAAACCTCCGCACTATAGCGTTATAGATTACCGGCCGTCTAGGCATATATCGAGATTAGTGTCTCTAGTTATAAATAAGATCTACTAGCGGACGGAGTCTTAGGACGAAGAATACGTAGTATATATTCTCGTATATCGTCTAGTATATAGTAGTAGAAAGCTAACTCCTATAGATCTCTATATCTAAGTAGACTTAATGTAAACTGTAATGTATTTAGAAGAGGGCTTATCTATAGGAAGCCTAAAGATAAAGTGCGCAGTTTTAGCCTTAGGTATTATATACGTAATACTATATATACTATACACTTTAAGTTACCCCCTTATCGCGTATATATAGCTAAACAAAGCAAACAAAGGGGTATTAGGTATAGAAACAACTAGACTACTTTCAGGCTATTGTAACAAAGCAATCTAACAAACAAACAAACAAACATGTCGCCGACCTAGGACTAATACTACCCCCGGGGTGTTATTAGCAAACCATCTATTTAGTACTTAGTAGTAGGCTAAGCGGCGCTCTTAATTGTAGCCTTACAATCTACTAAGTTCAACTGCTAAACAAAGCGACTATACTTAAGCTTGTTAAGCGGCTTAGTAAAGCTATTAGCGATCTAGTCGTGCGTACTAATCTAGGTAACAGCGATAGTGCTATTAGCGATCTTCTCGCGGATGTAGTAGACTCTAGCGTCTATATGCTTAGTATAGCTATCGATACTCGTCGACTAAGTAATAGCGATTGCTAACTAATTATCCTTGTATAGCGTAACGGGCTTAATAGTGCCCTTGTAACTAATTTCCTCTAATAACCGAGCTAGAGCAACAGCTTCTTTAGCGCTAGTTGTTAACTAAATATACTTAGCCTCTATAGACGATAGAGTAACTAAGGTCTAGCGGCCGGACTTATATAATAGAGGTCCGCCGGCAATAGTAAAGTAGAAGCCTCCTATAGAGCGACGAGTAATCGGATTATTAGCCTAGGAAGCGTTATAGTATCTAACAAAGTTAAGCTCGTTCTTATTCTATGTACCTCGGAAGCACAAGCTACGGCTTAGAGTGCTAACTAGGTACTTAATAAGCTAAAGAAGCGCGGTATAGTGCTCCTTAGTCGGGTTAGAAATGTATCGTAATAGTAGGCCTATAGTATAGCAAGCATTAGGTCGTGTAATTATAGCTAGC